TTAAATTCTAACTTCAACTGGCCCACTTCAGTTGTGACATTTAAATCTAACTTCAACTGGCCCACTTCAGTTGTGACATTTAAATTCTAACTTCAACTGGCCCACTTCAGTTGGGACATTTAAATTCTAACTTCAACTGGCCCACTTCAGTTGGGACATTTAAATCTAACTTCAACTGGCCCACTTCAGTTGTGACATTTAAATTCTAACCTCAACTGGCCCACTTTAGTTGTGACATTTTTAATTATAACCTCAACTGGCCCACTTCAGTTGTGACATTTTGAATTATAACTTCAACTGGCCCACTTCAGTTGTGACATTTTGAATTATAACCTCAACTGGCCCACTTCAGTTGTGACATTTAAATTCTAACGTCAACTGGCACTAGATCTTGTACTTGAGTAAAAGTAGATGTACTCAGATCTTGTACTTTAGTAAAAGTAGATGTACTCAGATCTTGTCCATCCATCCATCTTCTCCCGCTTATCCGTGGTCGGGTCGCGGAGGTATCAGTTCCAGCAGAGAGCCCCAAACGTTCCTTTCCCATCAACCAGCTCTGACTGGGGGATCCCAAGGCGCTCCCAGGCCAGCGGAGAGATATAATCCTTCCACCTGGTCCTAGGTCTACCCCTCGGTCTCCTCCCAGCTGGACGTGCCTGGAACACCTCCCTAGGGAGGCGCCCAGGTGGCATCCTTACTAGGTGCCCGAACCACCTCAACTGGCTCCTTTCGAGGCGAAGGAGGAGCGGTTCAACTCCGAGTCCCTCCCTGATGACTGAACTGCTCACCTTATCCCTAAGGGAGACGCCAGCCACCCTGCGGAGAAAACCCATCTCGGCCGCTTGTATCCGCGATCTCGTTCTTTGGGTCATGCCCCATCCTTCATGACCATAGGTGAGGGTAGGAACGAAGATGGCCCGGTAGACAGAGAGCTTTGCCTTCTGGCTCAGCTCTCTTTTCCTCACAACGGTGCGGTAAAGCGACTGCAGTACCGCTCCCGCTGCTCCGATTCTCCGGCCCATTTCACGCTCCATTGTTCCCTCACTCGAGAACAAGACCCCGAGATAGTTGAACTCCTTCACTTGGGGTAAGGACTCATTCCCTACTTGGAGTGGACAGTCCATCGGTTTCCTGCTGAGAACCATGGCCTCAGATTTGGAGGTGCTGATCCTCATCCCAGCCGCTTCACACTCGGTTGCGAACCGATCCAGTGAGAGCTGAAGGTCGCAGACCGATGAAGCCATTAGAACCACATCATCTGCAAAAAGCAGTGGTGCAATCCTTAGTCCACCGAACTGCAGACCCCCTCCCCCACGACTACGCCTCGAAATCCTATCCATGTATATTACAAACTAGAGATGGCAAATCCGGATCCTTTTACGGACTCAGGGTCTTCTGAGTCAGTCATTGAAGAGATCCGGATCATACGAGTCATTTGAGTCATATGAGTCAGCATCACCAAGACCGTAGAAATCCTATCGGTGAAACCGAAAAGTTGATGCATTTCACGAGCATATTATTATTCCATATATTTTGAGTATATATATATATATAATATCTGCATGTATATTTTCTATTTCGACATGTATATTTTATATTTTATATTTTATTTTTATTCTTGTATATTTTGTAGTTTTGTTTTATTGTAAAATGCCTTTTATGCTGCTGTAACAACAATTTCCCAATTTGGGATCAATAAAGTACTATCTATCTAACTATCTATTAAACTGACGTTATATTAACCTCCGCTACACAGTGTATTTTGCTTTAATAAAAAATGTTGATCACAAAAAAAAGGGTTATTTTGCGATTTGGCGAATCTGAGTCTGCTGTTGACTCGTGCATGAGGACGAGTCTGCTGGATCTCTGCATCTGCTGCTATATACGGCTCCGAGTCCGCACGAGTCTGATCCGCTGTGTGTTGCAGCGAGTCAGGATTTGCGAATCTGCGAATCTGCGAGTCTGCGAGCGAGTCTGCGAGTCTGCGAGCGAGTCTGCTCGTGCATAATATTGCGCGGGAGCCGGGTGCTGGAGGAGGGGCTATGCTCGTGCACATGACGAGTATGGAGGGCTGGATCTGCTATGCTATTACGGTTAGGAGCCGTCGGCTCCTCTGAGTCCCCACGAGTCTGCAGGAAGTTTCACTGATCCGCGTCCCCTCCCCTGAGCCAAACGATCACTTCTGGCAGGCAGCTATCCTGTATACTTGCTAAAGGGTAGGTAGATGGACTGGGGTACGTTGTAATGTGATTTTACATGTTATAAAGAGAGTAGCGAGTGACGCAATTTATAGTTTTAATTTGTACGTCACACCAAGTGTGGGACTCAAGGACTCGGGTTAATGGAGAGGGGAGACTCGTCACGACCAGCTCATTTCTAGGATCCGGGTTAATGATCCGGATGAATCAGGACTCGCCCATCTCTATTACAAACAGGATTGGTGACAAAGCACAGCCCTGGCGGAGGCCAACCCTCACCGGAAATGGGTCCGACTTACTGCCGAGGACCCGGACACAGCTTTCGCTTTGGGAGTACAGAGATTGGATGGCCCTGAGTAGAGACCCCCTCACCCCATACTCCTGCAGCACCTCCCACAGTAACTCCCTGGGAACTCGGTCATACGCCTTCTCCAAGTCTACAAAACACATGTAGACCAGATAAGCGTACTCCCAGGCCCCCTCCAGGATCCTTGCGAGAGTAAAAAGCTGATCCGTCGTTCCACGACCAGGACGGAATCCGCATTGTTCCTCCTCAATCTGAGGTTCGACAATCGGCCTGACCCTCCTTTCGAGTACCTTAGAGTAAACTTTCCCGGGGAGGCTGAGTAGTGTGATGCCTCTGTAATTGGCACACACCCACTGATCCCCCTTTTTGAAAAGGGGAACCACCACCCCGGTCTGCCACTCCTTCGGTACTATTTCCGACTTCCACGCAACGTTGATGAGACGTGTCAACCATGACAGTCCCTCAACACCCAGAGCCTTCAGCATTTCTGGGCGGATCTCATCCACCCCCGGGGCTTTGCCACTGTGGAGTTGTTTGACAACCTCAGTGACCTCCCCCCGGGAGATTGGTGTTGATCCCCCATCATACTCCAGCTCTGCCTCTACCATAGAGGGAGGAGTTATCGGTTCAGGAGTTCCTCAAAGTGTTCCTTCCAACGGCTGCTGCCCTTCCGGCCTGTCTGTACCTTGCAACTGCCTCGGGAGTCCTCCGGGATAACAAATCCCTGAAGGCCTCCTTCTTCAGTTGGACGGCTTCCCTGACCACCGGTGTCCACCAGGAGGTTCGAGGGTTACCGCCCCTTGAGGCACCTAAGACCTTGAGGCCACAGCTCCCCTCTACGGCTTCGGCAATAGAGGCTTTGAACACCGCCCACTCTGGTTCAATGTCCCCAACCTCCACAGGAATGCCGAAAAGCTCAGCCGGAGGTGTGAGTTGAAGGCCTCCTGAACTTGGGCCTCCTCCAGACGTTCCCAGTTCACCCGCACTACACGTTTGGGCTTACCAGGTCTGTCCAGAGGCTTCCCCCGCCACTCGACCCAACTCACCACCAGATGGTGATCAGTTGACAACTCCGCCCCTCTCTTTACCCGAGTGTCCAAAACATACGGCCTCAGGTCCGATGATACGATAACGAAATCGATCACGGACCTTGCCTAGGGTGCTCTGGTACCACGTACACTTATGAGCATCCTTATGTTCGAATATGGTGTTTGTTATGGCCAATCCATGACTAGCACAGAAGTCCAGTAACAAACCACCACTCCGGTTCAGATCAGGGGGGCCGTTGCCTTTTCGGGCTGTGCCCGGCCGGGCTCCGTGGCAAGCCCGGCCACCAGACGCTCGCCGACGAGTCCTCCTTCTGGGCCTGGCTCCAGAATGGGACTCTGGGCTTCCTCCGGGCCGGGTATCCTCACTTTGTGTGTCGTCTTTCATGAGGTCTTTTGAATCAATCTTAGTCTGGCTCCTTGCCTGAGACCAATTTGCCATGGGAGACCCTGCCAGGAACACAAGGTTCCAGACAACACAGCCCCCAGGTTCATCAGGGCACACAAACCTCTCTACCACAGTAAGGTGCTGGTTCTTCAGAGAGGTAGAAGAACCAGCACCTCAGATCTTGTACTTGAGTAAAAGTAGAAATACTCAGATCTTGTACTTGAGTAAAAGTAGAAGTACCAGAGTGTAGGAATACTCTGTTACAGTAAAAGTCATGCATTCAAAATGTTCCTCAAGTAAAAGTAGAAAAGTATTCTCATCAAAATATAGTTAAAGTAGCGACAGTAAAAGTAGTCATTGTGCAGATTGGTCCATTTCAGAATAATATATATGATATGTTTTATAATGATTGATCATGAAAGTGTTCTCAAAGCTGGTAAAGGTGCAGCTAGTTTGAATGACTTTGTATACTGCAGGGTAGCTTGTGGATTTACTCCAGGTGGAACTAAAGTCTGATTTAACACTTGATTAGATTTCACATCATTCATCCAGATCTGTGAAGTAACTAAAGGGATGAAATACATGTACATGTACCTCTGAACTGTAGAGGAGAAGAAGTCGAGTAGGGTCTAAGGACAGAGGGTGTCGTTTTTCTCATACTGATATTCTGAACAAACTGCTGTTGTATTTGCTGTAAAGTGTCTTTACTGTAGGGTATTTTTATTATATGTACAGCACTTTGGCTTGACCAAAAATCGTTTAAAAATGTGCTATATAAATAAAATTTGATTTGATTTGAGAAGTACACCATGTACCTCTGAATTTGTATTGGGGTAAAAGTACAAAGTAGCATAAAAAGGAAAGACTCAAATCAAGTACAAGCATCTCAAAATTGTACTTGAGTAAGTATAGTACTTGAGTAAATGTACTTGGTTACCACCTCTGCGCAGATCCGCTGTGTGCTTGGTGCATGATTTTTGATCTCACTGTCAGAGTTGCGGGGTCAGCCTCAAACTTCCTGTCTCTCAAATGTGACACCGCTCTGGCATGTTCACATGAAGCATATAAGCAGCTCCAGGTGATCGGAGCAGAGCACTCCTGAAAGCAGAGCGTGAAGAACATGCAGACTCTGATCCTCACAGTGCTGCTGCTCGCTGTCTCCTGCACCGCCATGCGTAAGTCACTTCACTTTTGCTCCACAGAGAAATGCTATTTGGTGTGTGCTTTCTGGATAAGGCTCCCAGTGGTTTCAGTGTTTCATTTAATATTCTGCATACCAGATACTTCGTGTTGCTGATTATCTGATTGTGAAAAACAATCAGATAATTGTAACAATATATATATATATATCTATTAATTAAACTGTTCAATTGCATATTACAATTACAATTTATATTTAGAAAAAAAAGGATTATTTGGTGGTTATAGTCAAAATCTATTCAAAGTTAGATAAACTGAATCTATACAAATATCAGCCTAAAATAAACGTGTTTCCTGTTGAATAATAATTGAAATCGTTTTTAATATCCCTAAATTCCAACAAAAATAAAAAACATCTATCCTCCATCCGTACACAGACTACAATACGACACAAGGCTGAATAGATACTCACCATATCTAGAGATGGATTGAAATAGGTCAGAGAAGCAGGAGGAATGACATGGATCTGTTGCTTCATATGTCCTCTCTGTCAACGGGTCTCTCCACGCTCCTGCAAAAGAGATGTTTATCTCAGGGACATTCATTAATTCAAGTTTATACATTCACTTAATACACAGGGTTCTTACGGTCATTAAAAACCTGGAAAAGTCATGGAAATTCAAAATGCTAATTCCAGGCCCTGGAAAAGTTATGGAAAACAATATTCTTCCCAAAGTTTTGGAAAAGTCATGGAAATGTAACTAAAGTTGCATCAAATATAATTTATATTTTATCTAATCGCCGAAATACTAATACTATAACGATAATACATACTGTATCGTATAGTAATGAAACATAAAATGGCATTTAACTGTCGAGGTGTTTTGCTGGTGAGAGATTTGAGTGGCTTTAGCGCGTAGAAGCTATTAAGCCTATTGGATTTGTTTCAGATAGGCACAACATGTTTCAGATGCAGACCTTATTTTCCTGTTCCATGTTCAAATAAACAATTTTCAGTGGTACCGCTGAGAAAGAGTCATTTTTTTGGTCATGGAAAATTAGGTAAAGGTCATGGAGAAGTCATGGAAAAGTCATTGAAAATCATTGGTGAAAAAGTGTATGAACCCTGAATACAAAAAGTACCACTCTTTTTGAAATAGTAGGTAAACTATGGCTTTGCACTCTGTACTCTCATGCAGGTATTACATATTGCACTGATTAACCTTGTTCTGCTTTATTCTTTAGGTTGACATTTTAATTCTTATAATTGAAATAGTAGGTAAACTATGGAGCTCAACACCAAAGTGAATCTACAAAGACAGTGCTCTCTGAGGTCACATTCTGACTTCCTTTGAGGCCGCTGAATGTATCTTGCTAAATGGTCTGTGTTTTGTTTTGTCTTCCAGCGCGTGCACTGAATGCCCCTGGTCCGTGCTGCTTTCAATTCTTTACAGGTACGGTCCCCAAGCCGAAGATAATCTCCGTCATCAAGACCCACAGCCACTGCCCCATGCAGGGATTCATGTATGTCTCTGCTTTATTCTCACATTCATCACTAGCTGTGATTCTAAGCTGTGTTTCTGTTTTCTGAGCAATGTAGTACCTTTAGTTACTTTGCAGATATAGATGAGTGATAAACAATATGATAAATATATAAATAAGACTTAATTTACACCTGGATTATTAAATTAAATTAATTTAGCAGTACATTAAGTAAATATACTTGTTTCACCTTTACCAGCTTTGATAAACACAGTCCGGCAGTGTCTCAGTCAGTAGGGGCTTGGACTGTGGTTCGCCGGTTCAAGTCCCCGACCAGACCTAAATATGGAGTGTGGACTGCTACTTGGAGAGGTCCCAGTTCACCTCCTGCCCTGCCGTGGTGCCCTTGAGCAAGGCACCGGACATCCCCCTTCCCCCCTCACTCCCATTGCTCCCCGGGCGCTGTACAATAGCTGCCCACTGCTCCTGGTGCTAGACTCCTGGTGCTAAACTCCTGGTGCCAGACTCCTGGTGCTAGACTCCTGGCTCTAGACTCCTGGTTCTAGGATGGGTTAAAAGCAGAGAACACATGTCACTGTGTGTGCCGTGTGCTCTGCATGTGAGACCATTAAAGAGGGGTTCATCCCTCCCATTCTTCTAATTCTTCTTCAATGCATCTGTAATTATAATCACAACATATGATATATATGATTTTGAAATGGGCCAATCTGCACAATGCCAATACTTTTGTACTTTTAAAGGTGGGGTAGGTAAGTTTGAGAAACCGGCTCGAGATACACTTGTTATATTCCATGGAATGCTCTTAACATCCCGATAGCAATGAATATCTGAAGTGCTTTGACAAAAAATCCATAAAAAAATGTCATCTGTGGAAGCCGTAGTACTGTAAAAAGCACGACCAATCATCTGAGCTGGCCCGGCTAAAATAACTGGATGGCCTACCTGCCTGTCAGGCTTCCATCTGTGCACAAACTTATCTCGTGCCCTCATTGGTCATGTGCGCGTTCGTGTGTGTTGGAGGAGGGGCTCTGTAAGGAAGTGGCAGATTTCTTCCGGCTGAGTATTTTCAAATTCTAGCGCACTCGAGCCGGTTTCTTAATTGAGTAACGCTTTGAATATAACACTTTTATTTGTAACAGAGCGTTCCAGCATTTAGCTACTTCTACTTTTGCTTAAGTAAAAGATCTGAGTACTTCTCCCACCTCTGGAGAAAATGTTGAAAATGTGTTTTATAACTCTCTGCAGCATCAGTACAGCTGCTGGGAAGGAGTTCTGCGTGAGCCAGAATGTGGTCTGGGCCCAGACAGCGTTCGATGAGCAGTAGGTCGTGAAGGGCTGATGCTGCTCCTCGTGATCACATGACCACATCACCAACATCTCCACCTGCGTCTTCACTCTGTCTGCTCATCGTGATCACATGACCAACATCTCCAGCTGCTCCACCTGCATCTTCACTCTGTCTGCTCCTCGTGATCACATCACATCACCTTTTTTCTTTATATTTACATTTTTATTTTAAAACATGTTTTGATTAAGCATTCTTGAAAGGAAAAAATTAAAATGAATATTAAACTGTTTATAATAAAAGTGAGAACTGTTGCATATTCGTCACATGGTGTATCCTATGATCATATGCAGAAAGACTTATTGATCCCAAAGGAAATTGAGTTTTGTGATAGTTACTACATTAAATAATGTAATAAAAATATTAGATAAGATTCAAATAGTGTATATACAGTACCAGTCAAAGGTTTGGACACACCTTCTCATTCCAAGGTTTTCTACATTGTAGATTAATACTGAAGACATCACAACTATAAAACACATGGAATTATCTAGTGAACTAAAAAGTGTTAAACAATCCAGAATATGATTTATATTTAGCTTCTGAACCCTTTAACACACAGAACCCTTTAACACACAGAACCCTTTAACACACAGAACCCTTTAAACACAGAACACAGAACCCTTTAACACACACACGCACAAAACCCTTTAGAACCCTTTAAACACAGATCCCTTTAACACACAGAACCCTTTAACACACAGAACCCTTTAACACATTACCAAAAACAAAAACAACGCACGTGCCTTGTTTGCTACCGTCGACAGATTAACTAACCCCCCAGTGTCAGTAGCCTCTGAATTTCTATCCACCAGGGCGTGCAATGATTTTGCCTCCTTCTTCACTGACAAAATTCAGAAAATTAGACAAGCAGTCAGTGCCTCTGCATCAGGTACAGCAAATGTGTTGTCCCTATGTCCACCTAATATCAATTCAAACACCATGACACAATTCCATCAGATTAATGGTAAAAACTTAGAGGACATTATTCAACTTCTGAAATCCTCCTCCTGCTGCCTTGATATTATTCCAACAGGATTTTTCAAAGATGTTTTTCCTTGCATGGCCTCAGATCTACTTCATATAGTAAACACATCTCTTCACTCAGGTATTTTTCCAGAGGCCCTGAAAACTGCAGTCATTAAACCGCTCTTAAAAAAGAATAATCTAGATGCTTCAGTAATGAACAATTACAGGCCCATATCAAACCTGCCATTTCTAGGTAAAATCATTGAAAAAGTTGTATTTCAACAGTTGAGTAACTTCTTGCATTTAAATAACTCTTTCGATGTGTTCCAGTCAGGATTTCGTCCAAACCACAGCACTGAGACTGCTCTTGTAAAGGTCTTCAATGACATCCACTTAAACACAGACAGTGGCAGAACTTCAGTTTTAGTATTATTAGATCTCAGTGCTGCGTTTGACACTGTTGACCACAACATATTACTAGACCGACTAGAAAACTGGGTGGGACTTTCGGCAACAGTTCTAAATTGGTTTGAGTCCTACTTAAAGGACAGAAAAAATGTTGTTTCTATAGGTCTACACATCTGAGTGTACAAATATGACATGTGGGGTACCTCAAGGCTCCATCTTGGGGCCTCTTCTCTTTAACATCTACATGCTACCACTGGCTCAGATAATGAAAAACAACAAAATAAGTTACCATAGCTATGCGGATGACACACAAATTTACGTAACAATTTCACCAGGAGATTATGCTCCAATTCAAACACTGAGTAAGTGCATTGAACAAATCAATGACTGGATGTGTCAGAACTTTCTCCAATTAAACAAAAATAAAACTGAGGTAATGGTTTTTGGAGCCAAGGCAGAACGTATAAAAGTTAGCGCTGAGCTTCAGTCTGCAATGTTCAAAACAACAGATAAAGCCAGAAATCTAGGTGTAGTCATGGACTCTGACCTGAGTTTCAACAGTCACATTAAAACAGTTACTAAATCAGCCTACTATCACCTAAAGAACATATCTAGGATTAAAAGACTAATGTCACAGCAGGATTTGGAAAAACTTGTCCATGCTTTAATCTTCAGTAGACTCGACTACTGTAATGGTGTCTTTACAGGCCTCACTAAAAAATCTATTAGAAAGCTGCAGCTAATTCAGAACGCCGCTGCTCGAGTCCTCACGAACACTAAGAAAGTGGATCACATCACTCCTGTTCTGAAGTCTTTACACTGGCTTCCTGTGTGTCAAAGAATAGATTTCAAAATACTGCTGCTGGTTTATAAAGCTTTGAATGGTTTAGGCCCAAAATACATGTCTGACCTACTGCTAAATTATGAACCATCCAGATCTCTCAGGTCTTCAGGGACTGGTCAGCTTTCTGTCCCCAGAGTCAGAACTAAACATGGAGAAGCAGCGTTCAGTTATTATGCTCCAAATATCTGGAACAAACTCCCAGAAACCTGCAGGTCCGCTGCAACTCTTACTACTTTTAAATCCAGGCTGAAGACTTTTCTTTTTGCCGCTGCTTTTAATTGAACTATTCACATCTTAAACTGCACTGTAACTTTTATCCATGTATTTTTTCTTTTTCTTTTAATGTTTATTTTATTATCTTTTCTTTTTAATGACTGATTTTAAATGCCATTTTCATAATGTCTTCCATTTTTGTAAAGCACTTTGAATTGCCTTGTGTTGAAAGGTGCTATATAAATAAACTTGCCTTGCCTAACACACAGAACCCTTTAACACATACACAGAACCCTTTAACACACACACACACAAAACCCTTTAGAACCCTTTAAACACAGATCCCTTTAACACACATAACCCTTTAACCACACACATAACCCTTTAACCACACACAGAACCCTTTAACCACACACAGAACCCTTTAAACACACACAGAACCCTTTAAACACACAGAACCCTTTAACACACAGAACCCTTTAACACATACACAGAACCCTTTAACACATACACAGAACCCTTTAACACACACACAGAACCCTTTAACACACACACACACAGAACCCTTTAACACACAGATCCCTTTAACACACACACACACAGAACCCTTTAACACACAGATCCCTTTAACACACACACACAGAACCCTTTAACACACAGAACCATTTAAACACAGATCCCTTTAACACACAGAACCCTTCAAACACAGATCCCTTTAACACACAGAACCCTTTAACACACAGAACCCTTTAACACACAGAACCCTTTAACACACAGAACCCTTTAAACACAGATCCCTTTAACACACAGAACCCTTCAAACACAGATCCCTTTAACACACAGAACCCTTTAAACACAGATCCCTTTAACACACAGAACCCTTTAACACACAGAACCCCTGCATCATCATGAAATAACAACGTCTCTGAGGATATGTTGATGTTTGTTGATGTTTATTGATCATCAGATTTACACATGAATAATACGAAGTGTTGAAACAACTTTAAAATATTTAATCTAAACTCGTGAAGAAGATCTGACGGACGAGATGCTTCAGTATTTCGGCCTCTTTATGTCCCCCCTGAAACACAGTGCGAATACAGCGTTAATATAACATTAATACAACGTTAATATAACATTAATACAACGTTAACATAACATTAACACAGCTTTAACATAACATTAACACAGCGTTAACATAACATTAACACAGCGTTAACATAACATTAACACAGCTTTAACATAACATTAACACAGCGTTAACATAACATTAACACAGCGTCAATATAACATTAACACAGCGTCAATATAACATTAACACAGCGTCAATATAACATTAACACAGCGCTACACCCTTTATTTAACGTTAACAGTTTATAAAGTGACTCACCCGTCAGCCTCCATCTTCTTCCTCTTCTCGATGATCTGAAACACAATCCGTCATTAACTCATGCTATTAGTTATAATTATATATATTATATATAGTTATGTATATATATATATTATATATTAAATATAGTTATGTATATACATAGTTATATTATATTATATATATTATATAGTTATATTATATTATATATAGTTATATATGATATATTATATATAACTCACAGCGCTGATCTTCTTCCACTGTCGGTCCAGCTCCGCCTTCTCGTTCGTTTCTTTGAAGCGACGCGTCTTCCTGCCTTCAGACATTTTGATGCCGTACTGGAAGGCAGCCCTGAAGGGACACAACTCATCAGAGAGAGAAGACACAGCCTGACAGACACAGCTGAGGGCAGAGAGAGAGCCTGAGAGACAGAGCTGAGGGCAGAGAGAGCCTGAGAGACAGAGCCGAGGGCAGGGAGAGCCTGACAGACACAGCTGAGGGCAGAGAGATGTTACAGCCTGACAGACACAGCTGAGGGCAGGGAGAGCCTGAGAGACAGTATTTGTACGTACTTGGGCAGCGCCTCCTTGTTGTTCATGTAATCAGAATATTCCTCCTGAGTGTCAAAGTCCCAGCGACCCAGAGGACCTTTCTTATTACCCTGAAACACAACAACATCATCACCATCACCACCACCACAATCATCATCATCCTCCTCACCACAATCATCATCTTCACCTTCTTCATATTACTATTATATAACAGATCAGGAAGAGGTGCATGCTGGGAGTTGTAGTTACCTGGTCCATCTTACTGTAGTCCACCTCCTCATCACTGTCCACTGCCAGGTCATCCATCCTGCACACACACACATTATATATCCTCACTGTAACCGTGAGTGTGTGTGTGTGAGTGTGAGTGTGAGTGTGAGTGTGTGAGAGTGTGTGAGAGTGTGTGTGTGTCTCTTACGTAGCAGGGTAACACTCAGCGTAGGAGTTCGATCCTCCAAAGAAGTCTCCCAGCTGCTCCTTCCCCTTCGTACTCACAGCTCAGGAAATACACTTTACACCATATTTACACAACAACAACAACAACAAAAACAACAACAACACCAACATGATAAGGATATGGAGTGTGTCCGGGCCACTCGCTTCCTGCTGCTCCTGCAAACTTCTCATTGATGATCTTTATCTGATCCCTCACCGAGCCGGGCCCTGAACGCACCACAGAGTAAACAGTATATTATAAAACTGTCCCTGAACGCATCACACAGTATGTTATACCACTGGCCCTGAACGCACCACACAGTATATTATACCACTGGCCCTGAACGCAAAACACAGTATGTTATACCACTGGCCCTGAACGCACCACACAGTAAACATTATATTATAAAACTGGCCCTGAACGCATCACACAGTATGTTAGACCACTGGCCTTGAACGCACCACAGAGTAAACAGTATATTATAAAACTGGCCCTGAACGCATCACACAGTATGTTATACCACTGGCCCTGATCGCACGACACAGTAAACATTATATTATACCACTGGCCCTGAACGCACCACACAGTAAACGGCATGTTATACCGCTGGCCCTGAACGCACCACACAGTAAACAGCATGTTCTATTTCATACTTACTGACCGCCAGAGGCGGTGCTTTAGCACTGGATATCTTCTGTCTCGCGCATGCGTAGGTCGAATATTTATATCAACAAAGTCACGTGTGACCCCGTATGACACCGGAAGGTATAAGTTCCGGTGCTGTCAACGGGCTCAGTCCTTTTTCATCTTCTCGCTGCGTAGGTTACTACTTATGAGTAGAAGCCAAGCTAAGCTTACTGAAAATTGGGATTCTAGCTCATCGCTACCTGTAGCCTTGCGATCGTTTGATCGGAGCTGCGGGCTAGGAAAAACGCTCGCCCTCCAAAGGCTGCGACGAGCTGTCCGTCCTCCCAAGGGAGAGGACCGCGGTGTTCACCGCCCGGACCCCAGGAGCTCCGGACCGGTAAAGAGCGGACGCTCCTGCACACAGCCGGTGAGATCGCTACCAATTATTGCTGATTGTGCTATATCTATATACTCTCAAACTAATGAGATAAGTGTACAAATTAACCGAGGGCTCTCGCTAATTTGTTACTGTTACCTGTACTATCATCCAGTTAGCTGAGTGCTCCGCTGAAAGCTAACTTTCTACTGCGCTAGTGAAGAGAGCGTCTCCGCCCTCCTCCTCACTACATACTTTTGGTTCTTTACCTGTACTATCATCCAGTTAGCTGAGTGCTCCCGGTGAAAGCTAACTTTCTACTGTACTAGTGAAGGGAGCGTCTCCGCCCTCCTCCTCACTACATACTTTTGGTTCTTTACCTGTACTATCATCCAGTTAGCTGAGTGCTCCCGCTGAAAGCTAACTTTCTACTGCGCTAGTGAAGAGAGCGTCTCCGCCCTCCTCCTCACTACATACTTTTGGTTCTTTACCTGTACTATCATCCAGTTAGCTGAGTGCTCCCGGTGAAAGCTAACTTTCTACTGTACTAGTGAAGGGAGCGTCTCCGCCCTCCTCCTCACTACATACTTTTGGTTCTTTACCTGTACTATCATCCAGTTTGCTGAGTGCTCCCGGTGAAAGCTAACTTTCTACTGCACTAGTGAAGGGAGCGTCTCCGCCCTCCTCCTCACTACATACTTTTGGTTCTTTACCTGTACTATCATCCAGTTAGCTGAGTGCTCCCGCTGAAAGCTAACTTTCTACTGCACTAGTGAAGGGAGCGTCTCCGCCCTCCTTCTCACTACATACTTTTGGTTCTTTACCTGTACTATCATCCAGTTAGCTGAGTGCTCCCGCTGAAAGCTAACTTTCTACTGCACTAGTGAAGGGAGCGTCTCCGCCCCCCCTTTCACTGCATACATTGGTTCCTTGCCCGTTCTATCGTCCAGTTAGCTGAGTGTTTTCGTTCAAGCTAACTGTTACGGCGTTAGTGAAGGGAGCGTCTCCGCCCCCCCCTCTCACTACATACAATTGTTTCTTTACCTGTTCTATCGTCCAGTTAAGCTGAGTGTTTTCGTTCAAGTTAACTGTTACGGCGTGAGTGAAGGGAGCGTCTCCGCCCCCCTCTCACCGCATACATTGTTTCTTTACCTGTTCTATCGTCCAGTTAAGCTGAGTGGTTTCATTCAAGCTAACTGTTACGGTGCTAGTGAAGGGAGCGTCTCCGCCCCCCTCTCACAGCTCACAATTAGTTCCTGTTCTATCCTCCAGTTAGCTGAGTACTCTCGCTCAAAGCTAACTTGCTACAGTGCTAGTGAGGGAGTGTCTTCGCTCCCCTCTCACGGCGCACAATTGGTTATTTTATTTAATCGTTTATTTGACAGGGACAATGCACTGTAATGAACACTTAAAACATTTAAAGGTGTCAAGCGTAACAGTGCCAGATTTAGCTTTGAGCTATTTTCCATTCCCTCACATAAAACATTAAGGGAATTACTTTTTACAAACAGGGTAAAAAAAAAATATATATATATATATATATATATATATATATATATATATATACACACACACACACATGATATGCAAAGAGTGGCAACGACACATAAAGTGTTCCATCCTCCAGTTAACTGAGTGCTCTCGCTCAAAGTTAACTTGCTACAGCGCTAGTGAAGAGAGTGTCTTCACTCCCCTCTCACAGCTCACAATTAATTCCTGTTCTATCCTCTAGTTAGCGGAGTGCTCTCGCTCAAAGCTAACTTGCTACAGCGCTAGTGAAGAGAGTGTCTTCACTCCCCTCTCACAGCTCACAATTAATTCCTGTTCTATCCTCTAGTTAGCGGAGTGCTCTCGCTCAAAGCTAACTTGCTATAGTGCTAGTGAAGAGAGTGTCTTCGCTACCCTTTTCACTGCACACAGTTGGTTCCTGTTCCATCCTCCAGTTAACTGAGTGCTCTCGCTCAAAGCTAACTTGCTACAGCGCTAGTGAAGAGAGTGAATCCGCTCCCCTCTCCCTGCACACAGTTGGATGCCCGTTCCAGCCTTCAGTTAGCAGAGTGCTCTCGCTTAGGCTAACTCGCTACGGCGCTAGTGGAGAGAGTATTCCGCTCTCCTCTCACGGCATAAACCCATTAACTGACTTCATTTTTTCTCACTCCAGTTAGCAGAGTGCTCACGCTCAAGCTAACTACTATTGTGCTCACTCCCCTCCACGGCATATTTGTTTCCTGGCCAGTTATTTACAGGCAGCTGAGTGCTCTAGCTATCGCTAGGTCTAACGGCTCTAACACCTGTATGGCTCCTCTTTAACCAGAGGATGGCCATGACCTTTGCCCCTCTTGTCTTGGCCTCGAGCATCTGAGGGAGGGCCTTTCGGAGGACCCGTGCATGAATTGCACCATCATGCCTCGAGGTTGAACTACTGACTGAGGGTGGCCTTCCCCCCCGCACAGTCGACTCCAGCCCAACCTACCCATCCTAGGCGTTGGGCCGCAGAGGCTGCGGGTGCACCGCCCAAGAAGAGGACTAAGCCTGATAGGCTGTCCTCCAGGGTGGACCTACTCACTACTGAGCTAGCCCAGATGAGGTCACTCCTCTTGGCTCTCCATTCCCGAAACAGCGCCTGCCAGTGCGTTCTTTAGGCGCACTCCGGCACCCGCCACCCGCACTGTTCCTCCCTCTTGTGAGTATCCGAGGGAGTTACATGCATGCTGGAGGGACACTAAGGCTCTTTACAGTCTTACGTCCGATGGCCGAGCCTTGGTAGCCATGCAGGATGCGGCAAGAGTTGGCCTTGACCACACGCCGGCTGTTGAGCCTACCATAGCTTCCCTACAGCAGGATGCTCTTAGCGCTTCCTTAAAGCTCCCATGTCATGCTTTTCCGGTTATTACCCGTCCCCTTGTGTGTTATGAAGGTTTTTATGCATGTAAACGGTGTGCAGAGTCAAAACCCTCAAAGTACACCCTGTAGCGAGTAAAACTCTAACACAGAAAATACCTCCCCAAAACGCCTCGTTGGAGATACGTCACTGCCCATTTGATTCTTCCGGGTACCGCCTGATGTCATGCGGTACCCGGAACGAAATGGACCAATCCCGAAGAGCTATGGCCACACCAGCAGCGGCGTGTTCCTCCTCCAGAGGTTCGAAGAACCGGCATTTCACAGACGAAAGCTTCCAAAACATTGCCCAGTTTGAGGCCGGATATGCACAGCTTGTTTGGACCGTTTGGAGCAGGGGAAGATCTGGGTATACAACCTGTAAGTTTGCATTGTTATTTGTGTATTTATCAAACAAGACTGTTTAAATGTGTAAACTGTGTTGGACTGCTAAGCCATTGACACAGTGCTAACTGTGCTAACTAAGTTGCTAGCGTTTAAATATATCAACTACAATGTCAGCAGATGGCCTTACATGTATCTCATAGCAGGAGAATGTCTGCAGTCACACACACGGAATACTCATACAGTATACTGTACTGTGATTTACCGTACATTGTGACCGTACATATACTGCATGTAGCTAACGAGGCTAGCTGTATGCTAGCGCAAAACAATGTATTCATGCAAGGTTACATTGTATGGTAGCAGAATACCCGTATACGATTGCAATTATAAACACGTTATTGCTAGCCTAATATGAACCACTAGCTTTTGTTCATAGTAGTTTTATTACACTGCATTATAGTTGCCTTTCCTCCAAGCTAACGTTCATATCGTGTTAGCTACCAAGGTAAACAAAGCTAGGTTAGCATATTAGCAGGCAAGCTGTTCATTACACAACTACTACTAACGAATGTAAAACAACTAAGTTTCTCTAATATTTTGTGATTTGCATTTGATTTCGTCCAGCCAGATCCTGGCGGACAATCCATGACGTGCTAAAAGGCACTTCTTCTACTACTACTGAGGCGTCGTGCTAAAAGGCACCGCACCGACTGTGCGCAGGCAAGATGCAAGGAGGAGGAATGGATGATATACCGTGTATATATGTATATTTATGTTCATTTTGTACATTTCTAAAAATAAAGTTTAATGGAAATACTTAGTAGGCCTATCCTTTCTTCCCTGAATTCATATATAGCAAACCATGATTTGATTTCTCATCAAACAGTAGTAGTTTATAACGGGTAAAAATAACTTACTCTTTGTTATGAGCGGCTCGTAGGCCACAAAGACAAGGAGACATACACGAGTTTACAAAACCACGGCACATTTATTGTGGTAAATGCAGATAGGTGGTTGAGAGGATCGCAGAGTTAGTCTTCCTGCAGCCGCTTTGGAGAGAGACTGGGGCCGTAGTGTCCGGAGGTGTCCGTGATCGTGCTGATTAGCCTCTTCAGCTCCACCCCATCGTAAGACAAAGGCCCTGGGGTCGTCACACTCTTCTATAACAACAGTTAAAAATATATATGTATATAAAATATACCGCTGTACCGACGCCATGATAAGACTGATGTTACGCTGAGAGCAGCCGGGAAAAGCACTGACATGGGCGCAGCCTCTCTGGTGGTTGACTAATCAGAACGAGTGGCCGAGCTGACCAATCGGAGCACACTAGGCTCACAGGGAGGGGGGGGCAAGAGCTCCAACGAGTCGTTTAGTGGAGAAAGTGAATACTGCTGAATACACATGCTTGACAGAGATGCTGTATGCGAAACCAATGTGAGTTTGGAAAATTGCACAGTATAAATCTATTTTAGTATACCTCAACAATGTAATTATGATCAGTGGAAATGGCCATGACATGGGCCCTTTAAATCAAGGGTACAAGCTTCAGTTCCGACGCTGGCCCCAGTCTTCAGCCGGGTCAAAATGACCACCATAAGCGACCCGGCAAAATAAATCGCCCTAAACCAGGAGCTGTCAGTCCTCCTTGCCAAGGGTGCAATCGAGCCTGTGGACCCCATCTCACAGCCCAGGCTTCTACGCGACCTACTTCCTGGTAAGGAAGAAAGGCGGTGGACTTCGCCCAATCCTCGATCTGAGGAGACTCAACAAGTTCCTAAGGATGTTACCTTTCCATGTGCTGAGCACAGCGGACGTTCTTCGTACCGTGGCCAGGGGGGAATGGTTCACGTCTGTCGACTTGAAGGACGCTTATTGTCATGTGCCTATTGTGCCTCATCACAGGCAGTTTCTTCGCTTTGCCTTCAGAGGTCGTCATTTCCAGTTCAGGGTGCTCCCATTTGGACTCTCCCTCTCTTGGACGACTGGTTAATCTGTGCACCATCCCGGTTACAGACGATCCAGGACATGGCTCTCCTTCTCTCTCATGTCGCCCGGCTAGGCCTCAAGGTGAACATGGAGAGGAGTTGTCGGAACCCCTCTCAGAGCCTAACCTTCATTGGGGTGGCTCTGGACACAGTCACTCAACCAGCGAAAACAGTGTTCTCGCCCCCACTCCTGGTAGACATGATGCTTTATTCTAGCAGCAGCCGACTGGATAAACCGTCCTGCTAAAACTTCTTGTTTTTTCCAGCTAGGTGAAGGCAGTGCTCTCGCTCCCGCTCCCTCTGCTGGTAACATGGGTGTAGTTACATCCCTTTTGTGTTCGGCGAGTAGGAGCGTTGCTCTACTCTTTCCGTTCAGCAGGTAGCTGGTGAAGGCTGTGTTGTCGCACCCCGCTCCCGCCTACGCTGCATCTGGCATTCGTTATTAACTCAACCAGTGAGGGCGGTGTTCTCGCCCCCGCTCCTGATAGACGCGCTGCTTCATTCTAGCAGCAGCTGCCTGGCTAGGCTGTCCTGTTAAACTTCCTTGTTTAACCCAGCTAGGTGCGGGCCTGTCCATCTGCTGCACAGACTCTGCTGTGGGACGCCCAACAGGAAGGACCTCTTGTCTCAGTTGGAGGGTCGAATGTGGCACCCCGACCCCTGCCACCTCCAGCTGTGGGTCTGACCACTGGGCCCGACCCACTGCTGAGCGACTGCATAGAGTCTATCAGGAAGACTATTCTCAAATGCTAGGGCACAACCTACTCGTAGGCAGTACGAAAACAGGTGGAAACTGTTTTTTGACTGGTGCCAAGGGCGAAATGAGGACCCAGCATACTGCTCGGTACCTACGACCCTTGAGTTCCTTCAGTCCCTCCTGGACGACGGCCGGTGTCCCGCTACCGTCAGGGTGTATGTGGCTGCTATATCAGCTCAACACGCAAGGGCTGATAACAGCACAGTGGGGAGCCATAGGCTGGTATCCCTCTTTTTAAAGGGGAGCTCTGAGGCTTCGCCCCCCGAATATCCCAAGGGCCCCTACATGGGACCTGCCCTTGGTGCTGGATGCCCTATGCTTGCCTCCTGTTGAACCTTTGTTACAGGCAGAACTGAAGTGGCTCTCAGCTAAGACTGCTTTCCCTCTTGCCATCACCTCAGCAAAACGTGTAAGCGAGCTTCAGGCCTTGTCTGTGAACAGCTCGTGTCTGAGGTGGAACTCAGATGGCTCAGGTGTCACCTTATGGCCGAACACAGCGTTCCTCCCTAAGCTGCTGACACGCTCTCATTTTAATCGGCCTATCCAGCTGGCACGGTTTGACCCCCCATCAGGAGAGGGGGAAGAGAGGTCGAGACTCCTATGCCCGGTGCGGGCCCTTAGAGCTTATGTCCAGACTACCGCTGACATGCGTCAGTCTGAGCAGCTCTTTGTGTGTTACGGTGGTCCTAGAAGGGGCTGTGCGCTCTCAAAACAGCGCTTGTCCCACTGGATCGTGGACGTCATTGCCCAGGCATACAAGGCGAATGACCGTCCCTTGCCACCTAGAGTAAAGTGCCACTCTACCAGGAGTGTCTCCACATCATGGGCGACCTGGAGAGGTGTGCCTCTGGAGGACATATGTGCTGCGGCCACATGGGCATCTCAGAGCACATTCGCCAGATATTACAGGGTGAATGTTGCCGCCCCTCACCCGCTGGGTGTGGTCCTCCTGCAGAGTCCGTCTAGGCCATCCTTATAGGTGAGTATTCAGACTTCCTCGTGACTCTGTTGATATAGGTCATCCAGTGCTAAAGCACCGCCTCTGGCGGTCAGTAAGTATGAAATAGAACGATAGTTACGTATGTAACTACGGTTCTATGAATACTGGATGACCGCCAGAGTTCTTGGTCACTCGGAATTTCGTGTTTCTGCGAGAAGATTCCATAGGACTGAGCCCGTTGACAGCACCGGAACTTATACCTTCCGGTGTCATACGGGGTCACACGTGACTTTGTTGATATAAATATTCGACCTACGCATGCGCGAGACAGAAGATATCCAGTGCTAAAGCACCGCCTCTGGCGGTCATCCAGTATTCATAGAACCGTAGTTACATACGTAACTATCGTTATACCGCTGGCCCTGAACGCACCACACAGATTTGGATGTTGTTTTAAAGTATAAATAAAATAGTGTACCTTCGTCCAGCTCCACGACCTGCAGACAGACAGACAGACAGACAGACACAGACAGACAGACAGACAGACAGAGAGACAGACAGACAGACGGACAGACAGAGAAACAGACAGACAGACAGAATTAGTATAATCAAAGTGATGAAACAGTAATAATAGTAATAGTGAGTAAAAACAAGATGGCTGACCGTGGTCTCCTCGGCCTCTGGCTTCTCGAAGTAGCTGTGCCTCGCTCTGATCTTGCTCTCCTCCTCTCTCTCTTTCTCTCTCTCTCTCTCCCTGTCCCTCTCCCTCTCTCTCTCCCTCTCTCTCTCCCTGTCTCTCTCTCGGTGTCTCTCTTTGTCTTTGGGAGGTTTGGAGGAGCCGGCCGACGGGATGTAGTCCCCGATGTCCTCGAAGATACTGAGACACAAGCAGAGGGTCAGGAGGAGGAGAGGGGGGGGGAGGAGAGGGGGAGGGGGGGAGGAGAGGGGGAGGGGGGGAGGAGATAGGAGGAGGAGGGGAGGAGGTGTGTGTAGTGAACTGACCTGATATCAGCTTCTGGAGCTCTCTTATCGTCCAGTTTTCCTGAAACACACACAGAGGAAACATGTTCCCACTGTTAGTCTGGAACCTCTGCGTCTGTTAGTCTGGAACCTCTGCGTCTGTTAGTCTGGAACCTCTGCGTCTGTTAGTCTGGAACCTGTTAGTCTGGAACCTCTGCGTCTGTTAGTCCGGAACCCCTGCGTCTGTTAGTCCGGAACCCCTGCGTCTGTTAGTCCGGAACCTCTGCGTCTGTTAGTCCGGAACCTCTGCGTCTGTTAGTCCGGAACCTCTGCGTCTGTTAGTCCGGAACCTCTGCGTCTGTTAGGTCCGGAACCCCTGCGTCTGTTTAGTCCGGAACCCCTGCGTCTGTTAGTCCGGAACCCCTGCGTCTGTTAGTCCGGAACCCCTGCGTCTGTTAGTCCGGAACCCCTGCGTCTGTTAGTCCGGAACCTCTACGTCTGTTAGTCTGGAACCTGTTAGTCTGGAACCCCTGCGTCTGTTAGTCTGGAACCTCTGCGTCTGTTAGTCCGGAACCTCTGCGTCTGTTAGTCCGGAACCTCTGCGTCTGTTAGTCTGGAACCTCTACATCTGTTAGTCCGGAACCTCTGCGTCTGTTAGTCCGGAACCTGTTAGTCTGGAACCTCTACGTCTGTTAGTCCGGAACCTCTGCGTCTGTTAGTCCGGAACCTGTTAGTCTGGAACCTCTACGTCTGTTAGTCTGGAACCTCTACGTCTGTTAGTCTGGAACCTCTACGTCTGTTAGTCTGGAACCTCTACGTCTGTTAGTCTGGAACCTCTACGTCTGTTAGTCTGGAACCTCTACGTCTGTTAGTCTGGAACCTCTACGTCTGTTAGTCTGGAACCTCTGCGTCTGTTAGTCCGGAACCTGTTAGTCTGGAACCTCTACGTCTGTTAGTCTGGAACCTCTACGTCTGTTAGTCCGGAACCTCTGCGTCTGTTAGTCCGGAACCCCTGCGTCTGTTAGTCCGGAACCCCTGCGTCTGTTAGTCCGGAACCCCTGCGTCTGTTAGTCCGGAACCCCTGCGTCTGTTAGTCCGGAACCCCTGCGTCTGTTAGTCCGGAACCTCTACATCTGTTAGTCCGGAACCCCTGCGTCTGTTAGTCTGGAACCCCTGCGTCTGTTAGTCTGGAACCCCTGCGCCTCTCAGAGACTCCTCAGCTGAGACTCCTGTGAGTGTTTACCTTTGTCCTTCTTCTTGATCTTCTTGTGCCGTGTTCCCTGCCGGAGGTACGAGAGGATCTGCGTCAGCTTGGAGATCACGATGTCGTTGGTGGTGAGCGTCGTCTGAGCCTGGAGGACACGGAGAGAACGTCTCATATTAGCTTCAACAAGCTACCATGCTACGGGAGGCGCGTGGCGCAGTAGACTAGTGCGTTGGTGTGGGGATCAGGGGAGCACAGGTTCAAACCCCACTGCAGTCAGCATGTCGTTGTGTCCCTGAGACACTTCACCCCAAAGTGCTCCTGTGGGGATTGCCCACAGTATTGAGTATGTAAGTCGCTTTGGATAAAAGCGTCTAACAAGTGACATGTAATGTACGGTGCGTTCAGGTACCTCCATGCTGTTATAATGTGTGGTGCGTTCAGGTACCTCCATGCTGTTATAATGTGTGGTGCGTTCAGGTACCTCCATGCTGTTATAATGTGGTGCGTTCAGGTACCTCCATGCTGTTATAATGTGTGGTGCGTTCAGGTACCTCCATGCTGTTATAATGTGTGGTGCGTTCAGGTACCTCCATGCTGTTGTATTGTAATGTATGTGTGGTGCGTTCTGGTACCTCCATGCTGTTGTAATGTATTGTGTGGTGCGTTCAGGTACCTCCATGCTGTTGTATTGTAATGTATGTGTGGTGCGTTCAGGTACCTCCATGCTGTTGTATTGTAAAGTATTGTGTGGTGCATTCAGGTACCTCCATGCTGTTGTATAGTAATGTATTGTGTGGTGCGTTCAGGTACCTCCATGCTGTTGTATAGTAATGTATTGTGTGGTGCGTTCAGGTACCTCCATGCTGGGGCAGTCGGCCTTGCTGCGGATCAGCGTGGTGGGGATGTCGGTGTCAGTGAACTCATCGTCCAGATCCACAACGTAGGCCATCCTGCCGGGGAGGAACAGCTCGTTCCTCTCCAGCCCGCCGGTCCTGAACACAACGCGGTAGATGTTCCTGCCTGAGGGGTTATAAAGAGACATGAGAACCAGAGAGGAACCAGAGAGGAACAAGAGAGGAACCAGAGAGGAACCAGAGAGGAACCCTCCAGGAGGTAGACATCATGCAGGATTTTCAGAATAAGAGCCTCAGGTCCCACTCACCCATACGAGTCTTAAACTCGATCTTCTCCTCCGGCTCCACGTCTTTCCTGGAGGAGAAACGATGACATCATCACATATTATAGACAGTTCAGAGCCTCAGGAGGAGTCTCAGGAGGAGACATCACGATTACAGCTGAGACCTGGGGCCTCACAGCCTCAGGAGGAGACATCACGATTACAGCGGAGACCTGGGGCCTCACAAAGCCTCAGGAGGAGACACGGCTCTAAAGTATTCACTGTCTGACTGTCACACAAGCAGCTGATACATATCCCCAGTTCCCCTTAAGTGAATGTGTGTCAGTCTGAATTGACGCTGTTTGGCATCACAACGCTGTTATGAAAGTTTCTCTGGTATAACATGGGTGATGTTAGCATAGCAACCGAAGCTAAACTGACTACTTGCTAAGCCGTTTTATACAGGCACTTTTTACCGACGTATTTTTCATTATGATTCTACTTGTGATAGTCGGACATGACAACCTGTGCAGCCCATGTATTGATTCCATCCGATAGCTGCTATAATAACAAACAAAACGTCTGCCTGCTCTCCACAATGACCAATAACAGCGAACGGATGGTCAAAGTAAGGTACAAATAAACAGAATCACACGAAGCCTGGTTAGTGTTGCCTGACTTTATAAAGTGTGTGGTTGCGTTCTAGTCACTTTGCTCAGCGCTACTGCTTGTTACAACTTTTTGCTGTACTCGCCTTTAACTGTTAGCTCAGGTTAATCTCGCCCCCCTCAGACGTAAGCGTGACGTATGCAGTTCTTGCTTCTAGGCCGACAATTTTTTGGTGCTTGAAACGAACCGGATTCTGGAGCTTAGAGGCGGCTCCGCTGCGGCGTGAACAGGACAAACCGGTGCTTTTCAAGCTCCAGCTCCGACCGGCCCTGGAAGCGCGTTGGTGTCAAAGCCCCATTATTGATCACCCCTCGATGATGTTCTCTTGTTAAGAAATGTATTCTCATAAATGATGCGGTAAGCAGAAGGACAGAATTACTTTAAGCTGACGCCGTTTAGCTTTTCTATAGGTTGTATTAGGGCTGTGCGATTATGGCAAAAATCCTAATCACGATTATTTTGGTCAATAATTTATATCACGATTATTAAAAACGATTATCCATTTACTTTGAAAACATCCATTTATTGAAACAAAAATGTGAACAGTATGTTTTTAACAGTTGATTACCCTGAACGTTAAGTATAATTCAACTGAAAAACATTTACATTTTTTTTTTTTTTTTTAATAAAAATAATAATCGTTTTATTTCGATTACGTTGTTTTCGTAATCGTTGCAAGCCAAAATCGTAATCGAGATTAAAATACGATTAATTGCACAGCCCTAGGTTGTATAGATACGAGCATGGTTTTAAATACTATCACATTTAATCGTGTTTTATGCCGTTTGCCAAGACTTGATAAGTCGCTCGTAAAACACAGGAGGTATGGAAACTAAGAACACCATATGTGGTAAATTGTACAGCTAATATAACACAACACATTGTATTTCCTTTAACTGGTGGATTATGGATATATAGTTGCTGATCGACAGCTGGAACACAAACCACCAAATACAACAAAAATAATTCAGATCCAGTCGTCATGACTCCACTCCGGAGGGATTCCCCCATCATTTCTTACAGTTTCTCATCATGGGGGGGTCTCCTGTCCCCGGGACAAACACACTGCCTGAGGAAGGTTATGTGTATTTTTTTTGTCATTAACTTTTTTCGGACCACTTATTTATTTATTTTGGTGACGATCCGACCTCCATGCTGCTACTCTGGTTCAAACTGCATCCACCAAACAATATGATTTATCTCGACCTCCCCAAAATAACCAAAATCTGACACGGTGTGAGATGTCTTTTTTAGCTGTGCTGTCGTCATTTCCTGCGATCTTCTTCATGCAGTCAGTCAAAATGAATATTAATACGGGGCGTTTCTTTGACTATTTATAGGCAAATATGGGCGTTACGTGAAGCCCGCAAAAAAGCTGCGCCGCATTTCGAGTTGATTGTGATTTATAAAAGGGAAACCGGCGTAGGATGTGCCGTACGCAGCCTTTTATGAATCGAAAAATGTCTGTGCGTATTTATTTGCTTTGTCCTAAGTAAGCAACCTTCCCACGTGAATCCTACGCAAGGCTTTATAAATGAGGCCCCTGAACACTGGCCCCTGAACACTACCCCCTGCAGGACAATAAGAGTCACTACATCATGTATTATTAAATCTGTCTGTATTCGGTTGATTTAAATCTGATCTCTTACTTGGTCTCCTTCTGGACTTTCTCCATCATGTCTTCTTCTTCTTTCTCTTTACTGGTGATCTCAGCTCTCACCTGTAACACACACACACAGAGAGAGAGAGAGAGAGAGAGAGAGAGAGAGAGAGAGAGAGAGAGACAGAGAGACAGAGAGACAGAGAGAGACAGAGAGAGAGAGAGAGACATAGAGAGAGAGAGAGAGACAGAGACAGAGAGAGACAGAGAGACAGTGAGGCTACGTGTTACTCGATGTGATAATAGTAATATGAATGCTATGCTATGTTAGCGCTGTACCTTCTGCAGCAGGGCGAAGTCCAGCCCCTTCACCAAGTGAGTGTGCTCCATGTCTCCTCCCAGAAACTTAGACTCCTGGATCAGCTGCCTTCGCTTCTCTGCTGCCGACTTGTCCCTGAAGTACACACAGATGTTAGCTTAGCTTAGCATTACTCACGCCTCAGCGGTGCGTCCCACAGCTCTGTAGTTAGCATTAGCTTAGCATTACTCACGCCTCAGCGGTGGGTCCCACAGCTCTGTAGTTAGCGGTGGTGCTAATGAGCTCCGTTTCCTCGTAGTCCTTGTTGACTCCGTCTCTCCTCTCTCTCGCCCGGTCACGGTACTTCTCGGCCAGCTCTGCCTCTCTCTCAAGCTCCTGCTGACGTAGCTTAGCATAGTAGCTGAAACACGGCGGAAAATCAATCGTTAAACATTAAAAACAGGAAGTGACATCACGAGACGTTACTTTAAATAAAGTCAGCGACTCGTCACCTTTTCTTCTTCCTCCTCCGAGCTGCAGGGTCCTCGTCCTCGTTGTAGTCCTTCGGCATTCTGGGAGAAAAACAAAACAGTTACTACCTTCATCATCACCTTCATCATCATCATCATCATCACCTTCATCTTTTTTTTGTATTATACATGTTGCATCGTTGGAGGAGCCCAGATCAGAAGAGTCTCCTCTGTAGCTCACAGAGCAGAGAGGACGTGTCTCTGTAGCTCACAGAGCAGAGAGGACGTGTCTCTGTAGCTCACAGAGCAGAGAGGACGTGTCTCTGTAGCTCACAGAGCAGAGAGGACGTGTCTTTGTAGCTCACAGAGCAGAGAGGACGTGTCTTTGTAGCTCACAGAGCAGAGAGGCCGTGTCTCTGACATCGGCGCTGCCTGCTACAGGACAACACGGAACGTGCGCGATTTGGACGCGATGACCGGTGCTAGTTGAGCACGCGCGTGAGCTGCACGCGCGTGAGCTGCGAGCGCCGGAGCCTTGCAGCGGCGAAACTGAGGCTCCATGGTAAACTGTGGTAACACGAAGAGCCGGTTGGGAGCCGAAAGAGCCGGCGCTTTAAGAGAGCCGAGCCAAATGATCCGGCTCACTAATGGCGCATTTCCACTACAGCGCGGAGCTCGCTTTAAGCGCGCCGAGCCGTGCGGGGCCCGTTTTTGGTTGCGTTTCCACTTGGCGTAGTACCGGCTAGCGGGTCCTAATTCACAGTTTTTCTGGCCCCATAAAATCGTGGTTCTAGGGCCAGGAACAACCAGGCTGAGTCGGGCTGAGTATGCTAAACTAGAGAGAGAATCGCTGGCAAGGGGGCTACAACTACAACAAGATGGACATATTTGACCGTGATTTAATTGTAATACACATTTCAAAATGATGCTGAAGTAACAACATACTGATACCGGTTAGTAAAAACCATGAATTAATGCTTTGACAAGTCTGCAGACAGACGGCAGGCGAAAAACCTTTTAAAATGCGCGTTGTCTAAATGGAGATCGGCTAAGCTAACGCAGTATATGCTCCGACCGTCCACACTCACAACAACGGCCTATACAGACATAAATAAACCAGCGACTGTATTCACCATGACACAGGCAGTCTGTGGTTTGTACTTGTTTAACTTTTGTCTAGTTTCTGAACATATATGAGGAGCTGTGAGCTCTGAGTGCTAACAGCTAACAGCTGATGTTGTTTTTCTGGGGTTCTCACTGAAGATGACGTCACGGCTCCGCCTACACTGCGTTACTATAGACACTACCCCAGTTCCTAAACTGTAATGGAAGCGCAGCATTAAAGTGAGCCAGTCCTAACAAGGCCTAGCCATACCGAGCGAGGCCGTGTAGGGAAAATGAGTCATAACGTAATAAAGACAGTATCTATAAGGGACGGCTCAAGTCAAAATTGCCCCCCCCCCCCCGCTCTCGGGGTGGACGCCCTCCCAGCCCTCGTCTGGCGGAAACACTGCATATGACAATAAAACCTTTAAATTGAATCATCATCTTCTGTGGTTTCACTCACTCAAGGTGTCTGGATTTAGAGGGCGGGGCCGAGGAGGGCGTCGCCCGCGGCGTCATCAGGAGCTTCCTGAAGTCGTCATTGGTCAGTTTGGACCTGGAGAGAGAGAGGTAGAGAGAGACAGAGACAGAGAGAGCATTAGATATATAGCATATAATACAGAATGAATAGCATCATGTGATGGATGATATATAAAGTATAGCATGATGGATGGATGGTATATAAAGTATAGCGTGATGGATGGTATATAAAGTATAGCATGATGGATGGTACTCACTGCGCGGCGGAGCGCTGGTCGTCCGGCTCGTGGCCCTCGGGGGCCAGAGGGTTGGAGTAACTCTCAGCTGAAACAGGTCAGAATGTGAAGGATTAAGATCAGAGGGAGCGTTATTCATCCTCTTGGGGAGATGCAGGCGTTAGTAGCAGCAACAGGTCAGAGATAACAGGACTCACACGGGGTTAAAATAATGATAACATAGAATAAAGATTACAATTATATTACAGCAAAGATTAAGTGATAGGGTTCAGGTTGTTTATTTGTACCCGTAGGTAGATTATGTTTGCAGAGAAAAAGACAAGGGATCCATCCTGACTCTAAACACAAACACATCTCTCATAAAAGTACAAGTACACCCGGCTCCGTCAAATCTCAACATATTTAAAAACATTTAAGAAGGAAAACACTAGTTCAAACATGGACATTCAAAATTAATGAATAAATAAATACATAGGCCTCTGTGTGGCGCTCCTATGATGTGTTCATTTGTGCAATAGCTGCTGGGATCAAAGTGCCATCACTGCCTGAGGTACAGGGGCTCCAGATTTATCACTGCCTGAGGTACAGGGGCTCCAGGTTTATCACTGCCTGAGGTACAGGGGCTCCAGGTTTATCACTGCCTGAGGTACAGGGGCTCCAGGTTTATCACTGCCTGAGGTACAGGGGCTCCAGGTTTATCACTGCCTGAGGTACAGGGGCTCCAGGTTCATCACTGCCTGAGGTACATGGGCTCCAGGTTTATCACTGCCTGAGGTACAGGGGCTCCAGGTTTATCACTGCCTGAGGTACAGGGGCTCCAGGTTTATCACTGAGTAAATATTCATCACTGTGTTACTGTGATGTCCTGAGACAACGTAACACTCTGTAACTCAGTGATCAATGTAGAGTAAATATTGATCACTGTCGATAGAGGTTCGGGCTGAGCTGAAGAGACTCCATCTTGTTAGTATTGATGATACGCCTGGACCCTCAGATCACGTCTGATCACAGAGATGCACTTATTTCATTTATACTACATCTTATTTTGTGATATCACTGAACGTAGTTTCTTGGTTTCTATATCTCATGTAAATATTTATGTATATATTTTTTTTTTATAAAATATTTTTATTATTTTATTTAATGTTACAAAACAAAAATGACCATGTTCACGTCTTGAAGTCATCCTGAGGCCTTAGTTTTGGTTTAAAATTACACAACATCATGTATGTGTTGCTTCTTTTGGGCTTGTTTTCATAGACCTGGTTGCTTATTTCTCTCAAATCTGGCAACAGAGTGGGCGCAGTGTCTAATAGTAGCAGTAAGCTAACGAGAGGCTACGTTCAGCTGGTGCCTCGGGAGTCGGGACAGAGAAAATGTCAGGAGTTTGGAAGTATTATAAAATTGAAAGCGAAGGCAGTGTAACAGCCAGATGCAATGTTTGCAAGGCGGAGGTTCCGCGCGGTGGAAAGAACAGAGCTACGTTCAACACGACCAATCTAATACAAACACCAACAACAACACGACGAGTACACAGCGGCCACTCAGGTAACGGCACTGAAACAACCGACACTTTCAGAGACTTTTAAAAGGAAAGAGAAACTGCCCCAGAACAGTGCCAACAAAATAACAGCCAAGATAGCTGGATGACCAGCCGTTATCTGTTACCTTTTTTTTCTCTTAATGCATTGCATAAAGATTGGATCGGGAAAAATCGGTATCGGCAGATTGTCAAAATCAAATGATCGGAATCGGATCGGGAGCAAAAAAAGGTGATCGGGACATCCCTAGCTATAATATAGATTTTTTTAAATATTTGTTTATAATAGTTTTAGTTTTGTATCCTTCTCTTAAAATGTAAGATCAGATGGAGCTTCATTGATCCCTGAGGGTCCATTGATCCCTGAGGGAGATCAGGAGTTAAACAGAGAGACACAGGACAGATATAAATAAAGTATTCAAAGCTCCTCTTGTGCATTATATATCATTCACACACAGACCTACTTCTACTAACTGTTGTTGTTTTCCATTTTGTTTCTGAATGTTTGGTTAGCATCTATGCAGTCTATGGTTAGCATCTACACAGTCTATGGTTAGCATCTACACAGTCTATGGTTAGCATCTACACAGTCTATGGTTAGCATCTACACAGTCTATGGTTAGCATCTATTCAGTCTATGGTTAGCATCTATTCAGTCTATGGTTAGCATCTACACAGTCTATGGTTAGCATCTACACAGTCTATGGTTAGCATCTATTCAGTCTATGGTTAGCATCTATTCAGTCTATGGTTAGCATCTACACAGTCTATGGTTAGCATCTACACAGTCTATGGTTAGCATCTACACAGTCTATGGTTAGCTCTTTTCTTTTTAATGACTGATTTTAAATGCCATTTTCTTAATGTCTTCAATTTTTGTAAAGCACTTTGAATTGCCTTGTGTTGAAAGGTGCTATATAAATAAACTTGCCTTGCCTTAGCATCTACACAGTCTATGGTTAGCATCTATTCAGTCTATGGTTAGCATCTACACAGTCTATGGTTAGCATCTATGGTTCGCATCTTAAAAAGGAGTAGCTCTTCTCTTTAATAACGACAAAGGTTTCTATTCTGAACCTGATTCTGATCCTCTATCATTTATATATGTACTTATAGTTCTACTACTGAATGAGCTCCTGCACTGCATCTGTTTACTAAGTGTGAGTGCTGCGGGTCTCTGTTGTTGTCTTTGTTGTTTCTTAATGTTTCGTTAAAAAGGAGTATCTCTTCTCTTTCCATAGTTCATGTATAATAACGATAAAGGTTTATATTCTCAACCTGATTCTGATTCTGAGTTTGTTGTGATTCTGGTATCAGAAGCTAAGCTAAGCTAACAACGTTTAAAAGAGCTAACAGTTCTGCTAGCGTCGTGCTAACAGAGCTAACGCTAATACAGTTGAATGTGTTATATATGAAGCTAACAGAGTTCCGCAGCTCAGACTCACTCTCAGGCATCTCTGCGGTGTCGGGGCCCCGCTTCTGGAGAGGGTTCCTCCGGTATCTGAGCTTATATTAACGCTCTCTGTTTCCTGGAGAAGGTGTTCGTCCTGCGATGCTAACAGCTAGCTTCTTCACCGCTCTCTGTTGTGATGGCACGTCATATCCGGTACGATTCGTTTTATTTAATTTACAATTTAAATAAATATTTTTTTCATTAAAGGAAATACAGAGTTTCATTACAAAATGATAAACTACATTCATACATATTTAGTTCAATTACTGAACTCTAAATCTTATTTTATCTGACTATCAGCTAGTACTGGGACATCGCTCTGTAACGTCATATCCGGTTGAGTTGCAGCCGCTGCAGTGAATTACACTTTTTATTTATTTAAAGAAAAACAGAATTTCTTTACAAAAATACAGAAAGTAAATAAATTAATATTATTAATAAATAAATACTATTTTCAGTAAATCAAAGTGGTGTTTAAAGAATTGGAGAATTAAGACTAAAATGGTGTCATAAAATACAAATAATAAAATAAATTAAAGGAATAATAAAAAATAATTCTAAAATAAGAATAAAGAGTAAAATATTATAACATATTAATCACAAATACAATTAATAAAGGAATAAATAATAATATAAAGTAAGTATAGATGTGGAGTCTGCTGCCCCCCTGCAGGTCGCTGGAGGTACTGCTGCCCCCTGCATGTCGCTGGAGGTACTGCTGCCCCCTGCAGGTCGCTGGAGGTACTGCTGCCCCCTGCGGGCCGCTGGAGGTACTGCTGCCCCCTGCGGGCCGCTGGAGGTACTGCAGCTCCTGCAGGCTCTCAGGGGGCAGCCGGAGAAACTCTGCTGCTGCTGTTCCTTTATCATTTATACAAATTCATCCAGTTAAATCCTGAAACTCATTGAACTCCCAGAAACAGGAACACGCTCACTGTGAGAGGTCTTTGAAACATACATTATGAAAGTAAAGTCTTTATTCTACTGCACAGTTTACAGGCTGTTTAATCTGATGAGGATATATCCTATCAGCCCTGAGTCTTATTAACACCTTCAGGTCTGTTTCACTGCTTTAGGTCTTCAGGTATTATATCAGAAGAGCTGCAGGTTTCCTTTAGCTGAGCGGCAGAACACCATCAAGACTTTGTAAATCTCAGACGGACTGGTGATGAAATAAAATGAGATGAGAGGAGATGAGAGGAGAGGAGATGAGAGGAGAGGAGAGGAGAGGAGATGAGATGGACCTTCATTAATCCCCGTGGGGAAATTCAGTAGTTTAACAGCAACAGGTGAGGATGAAAAGCAGCACAGATTCACACAGATTAAAGATTAATACAATTAAAGATACAATTACAATGATATACAGTTAAGTCACTTTAAAATATGTGTGTGCGCCGGCTGGTATGAAGTTATTGTGAAATGCAGAGAACATGAAGCAGAGGGATGTTTATAGTATTTATTTTATTGGTATCAACACATGTACACACAGAGAAGCTTCAGGTCAGGGTTTGGACTGAGCCAGGCTCTGCAGGGCCGAGGCCACCTGCTCCGCTGACATGTTGTCCACCGACACGCTGCTCTCCTGACCCAGCTCTAAACAACAACAACAACAACAACAACAGATATTTAGAGATCATAACAAACATCAGTGAAATTATCTGATCAATCAAAACATTTTTTATTTCATTTGACTCTCAGACACTTTTCACGCTGCTGAGGACGCTCTGCACTGAGACGCTGCTGAGGACGCTCTGCACTGAGACGCTGCTGAGGACGCTCTGCACTGAGACGCTGCTGAGGACGCTCTGCACTGAGACGCTGCTGTGGACGCTCTGCACTGAGACGCTGCTGAGGACGCTCTGCACTGAGACGCTGCTGAGGACGCTCTGCACTGAGACGCTGCTGAGGACGCTCTGCACTGAGACGCTGCTGAGGACGCTCTGAGACGCTGCTGTGGACGCTCTGAGACGCTGCTGTGGACGCTCTGCTCTGAGACGCTGCTGAGGACGCTCTGCTCTGAGACGCTGCTGAGGACGCTCTGCTCTGAGACGCTGCTGAGGACGCTCTGCACTGAGACGCTGATGAGGACGCTCTGCTCTGAGACGCTGCTGAGGACGCTCTGCTCTGAGACGCTGCTGTGGACGCTCTGAGACGCTGCTGTGGACGCTCTGCACTGAGACGCTGCTGTGGACGCTCTGAGACGCTGCTGTGGACGCTCTGCACTGAGACGCTGCTGTGGACGCTCTGCTCTGAGACGCTGCTGTGGACGCTCTGCACTGAGACGCTGCTGAGGACGCTCTGCACTGAGACGCTGCTGTGGACGCTCTGAGACGCTGCTGTGGACGCTCTGCACTGAGACGCTGCTGTGGACGCTCTGCTCTGAGACGCTGCTGTGGACGCTCTGAGACGCTGCTGTGGACGCTCTGCACTGAGACGCTGCTGAGGACGCTCTGCTCTGAGACGCTGCTGTGGACGCTCTGAGACGCTGCTGTGGACGCTCTGCACTGAGACGCTGCTGTGGACGCTCTGCTCTGAGACGCTGCTGTGGACGCTCTGTTCTGAGACGCTGATGTGGACGCTCTGCTCTGAGACGCTGCTGTGGACGCTCTGAGACGCTGCTGTGGACGCTCTGCTCTGAGACGCTGCTGAGGACGCTCTGCTCTGAGACGCTGCTGTGGACGCTCTGAGACGCTGCTGAGGACGCTCTGCACTGAGACGCTGCTGAGGACGCTCTGAGACGCTGCTGTGGACGCTCTGAGACGCTGCTGTGGACGCTCTGCACTGAGACGCTGCTGAGGACGCTCTGCTCTGAGACGCTGCTGTGGACGCTCTGCTCTGAGACGCTGCTGAGGACGCTCTGAGACGCTGCTGTGGACGCTCTGAGACGCTCTGCACTGAGACGCTGCTGTGGACGCTCTGCTCTGAGACGCTGATGTGGACGCTCTGCTCTCAGACGCTGATGTGGACGCTCTGCACTGAGACGCTGCTGAGGACGCTCTGCACTGAGACGCTGCTGAGGACGCTCTGCACTGAGACGCTGCTGAGGACGCTCTGCACTGAGACGCTGATGAGGACGCTCTGCACCGAGACGCTGCTGAGGACGCTCTGCACTGAGACGCTGCTGAGGACGCTCTGCACTGAGACGCTGCTGAGGACGCTCTGCACTGAGACGCTGCTGAGGACGCTCTGCACTGAGACTTTGAAGTGAGTGGTATTGGTATTTATTGATTGTTGTGCTTTTATCTTAATCTGGATTGTGGGAAACAGTACTTCAATCTCTCTGTGCACTCAAACTGAAAGACTGACAATAAAGTTGACTTTAGTTTCAAATGTTTGTTTACAATTATTTACTGTAGTTTGTCCACAGTGTGATTGATGCTGATGTATCTGTGTATTTATACATGTTATTATCTCCACAGTGTGATTAATGCTGATGTATCTGTGTATTTATACATGTTATTATCTCCACAGTGTGATTAATGCTGATGTATCTGTGTATTTATACATGTTATTATCTCCACAGTGTGATTGATGCTGATGTATCTGTGTATTTATACATGTTATTATCTCCACAGTGTGATTAATGCTGATGTATCTGTGTATTTATACATGTTATTATCTCCACAGTGTGATTAATGCTGATGTATCTGTGTATTTATACATGTTATTATCTCCACAGCGTGATTAATGCTGATGTAGCTGTGTATTTATACATGTTATTATCTCCACAGTGTGATTAATGCTGATGTATCTGTGTATTTATACATGTTATTATCTCCACAGTGTGATTGATGCTGATGTATCTGTGTATTTATACATGTTATTATCTCCACAGTGTGATTGATGCTGATGTAGCTGTGTATTTATACATGTTATTATCTCCAGTGTGATTGATGCTGATGTATCTGTGTATTTATACATGTTATTATCTCCACAGTGTGATTGAAGATGATGTATCTGTGTATTTATACATGTTATTATCTCCACAGTGTGATTGATGCTGATGTATCTGTGTATTTATACATGTTATTATCTCCACAGTGTGATTGATGATGATGTATCTGTGTATTTATACATGTTATTATCTCCACAGTGTGATTGATGCTGATGTATCTGTGTATTTATACATGTTATTATCTCCACAGTGTTGAAGCAGGGCTGTAGAGGTAGAGCTAATATAATGTAATATAGCTGTGGTACCGTAGCGGGCCCAGAGCCGGGCCTGGACTCCAGAACACTCTCTGATCCGGATCGGGAAGTCTGGGTTGGACGTCTTCAGAGAAACATAATGCTGCTCCACAAAGTCCCTGTGAATACACATTAACACACATTACTACACATTACTACACTGTTAGAACATATTATAACATTGATGTTAGCTGTTTGCTCTGTTTACTGTTAGCTGTTACCTCTGTTAGCTGTTACCTCTGTAACCTATGTTACCTCTGTTAGCTGTTACCTCTGTTGGGTGTTACCTCTGTTAACTGTTAGCTCTGGTTACTGTTACCTCTGTAACCTATGCTAGCTCCGTTAGCTGTTACCTCTGTTTACTGTTAGCTTTTAGCTCTGATAGCTGTGTTAGCTGTTACCTCTGTTAACTGTTAGCTCTGATAGCTCTGTTACCTCTGATAGCTGTTAGCTCTGTTATTGGGTCATTCTCTAGGGGAATGCTAATGCTAAGCTAACAGGCAGAGGGTGTATCCCTGGTTCTATGTTAGCGGCAGATCGCGGCTCTGAGGCCCGGCTCGCAGCTCACCTCGCCCCCTGACTGGCTCCAGAGGTCTGGCAGAGATGGAGGCGGATCTCCCGCAGATTCCTGCCCAAAGAGGAGCCGATACTTCTGACCGCTGCAGCCGCCATGTTAGCTTCTGGAGTCAAGGACGGGAGGAGGGTTCATTAAGACCTGAGTTCAGACTGACAGGCAACCAATTAGAGGGTTTGCAGCCCGGAGTTCAGCCTTACAGGCATCAACACTGTCTACTTGCATCTACACAGTGTCTACCCGCAAAGATCCAAAGGCTTAATCATCAGATGCACAGCAGCTATAGTGTAGATATACAATGAACATCTGCAACATAAATATATATAAGACACAAAACAATAAAGCATTTACACATACTATAAAAATAGTGCAAGAACATCTTAGAGCAGGGAACAGATTATAAATGAAACAGAACAGATTAAGTTGCAGACCAATGTGAAAGTAATGCAGGAGAAGTGAGATATAAACCTGTCAGATAAACACAATAAGCTAATGTAATGAATGTTGTCAGAGAGGTCGTGCTGGAGTCTGTGTACATGTAAACAGACAAAGATAAACAAGATCAGAATGTAAAGTTAAACACTGCTTGTAGTAATACATCAATAACTTTTCAAGATGAAGGTAAGCAGCATCAAAATATACTTAGAGCAGTCATTGAGCAGAATGATAAACAGTATTTACATTATTGGATGCATTTAATTCAAATGGGGGAATCCTTTCTTTGTGTAATTCTTGAAAATGTAACATTTCTAAAAGTCTCTTCATTACTGCTTGGTTTTAAAACATGATGAAATATGCAACCTGTGTTTTTACACACACACTATCTATACAATAATAAAAGATATCATATCAAATGAGACAGTAAAGTTCTGCTTGTGTTTCAACCTTTAATATAGTTTAATGTTTAATATGGACCAGTATCATTCTTACCTTCATGAAGTGATGTATTTATAAGACTGCTTCAAATATCAACCAACCAGCTGTTAAACTCTGTTTCCAACATTAACATCAAACCTGATGTATGTCTTTATGTATGAATATTATTCATACATCATGTTGAATAATCTCTGATGCCCAGAGGATATTCAAAATACAACTCTGAGAATTTATTCCATGGATACTTTTACTGAAAACCTAACTTTGCTTTCCTGACTGCTTTTCAATCTAAACGTACCGTACCTTTAACGGCCCGTGTCGGGTCTCTGCCGGCTGTAAAGGATCAACGTGAACACAGCAGGACGGAGGCGTTTGTTTGCGTTAGCGGATGTGATAGCTTAGCTTGAGCCCAGCTAGCTAGCCTTAGCTTTATATTAAATACACAGAAACGACAGTGGTCTGAACATCATTCTGAGAAGGAGATGTGAATTTCTAACTGTACCTTTGACACAAGTTGCTGGAAGAGGCTTTGCTTTATTTAGTGACAGGATGATTTGGTACAAACATCTGGACACCAGAAGCAGAATGAAGGGTTTATACAGGTAAGACTTTCAAGATGTTTGATTCTATATTCAAAGGCAGCTGAGTTATAAACATGACTGTGAACTAATGAAGGATGAAGGTGATCCTCCAGAGATCAACAGCCGGTAGCTTCGCGGGTTCTGCAGTCTGTTTCTCGTTGAGAGTTCGTTAGCGTTAGCAGAAAGTGAGCAAGCTGCACATGCGTCATCACGAGTGAAGATTAAAACATATTTAGTGTTTTTTACAATCCGACGGGTTTCCTGTCAGTCCGGCCCTCCCTGTTCCGCCGCAGGAGTTCTTTCCGTCGTTTCTCGTTCAGAAGCTGCTGGATTCGTTTGTTTTGTGTTCGCTCGCGGACCGGCGGCATCCGCAGCACAAAGTAATTCTGCTGCGCCCGGTCTCCGTCCAATCCCACGATCCGATACGGGACCTCGTCCACCGAGTTGTTCTCCTTCTTAGAAGACAGCGGGAAGAAGGAAGACGGCGATGACGTTGGTTCGGTTTCAGTTTGACGGATCCTCCCTCCAGATGTCCTGTTCGGAGACGATGTGGCGACGATGACAGCTGGTGTTATTATTGTGGCGGACGTCCTGAACAAAGCCGGGGTCGGACTTTGACCTCTAGCTGTCTCTGTTGTAGCAGGACACCTTGTAGTGGTAGTTTTCCTCCTGAATACATGTGGTGGAGCAGTTCTTCTTGGACGCCTTGTAGTGGTAGTTTTCCTCCTGAATACATGTGGTGGAGCAGTTCTTCTTGGACGCCTTGTAGTGGTAGTTTTCCTCCTGAATACATGTGGTGGAGCAGTTCTTCTTGGACGCCTTGTAGTGGTTCTAGTAGTGGTTGTAGTAGTAGTAGTAGTAGTAGTAGTAGTAGGAATGGTCGTAGTAGGAATGGTCGTAGTCGGAATGGTAGTAGTAGGAATAGTAGTAGTAGGAATAGTCATAGTCGGAATGGTAGTAGTAGTAGTAGTAGTAGTAGTTGTAGGAATGGTCGTAGTAGGAATAACATCAGGAGCTTCAGAGGAAATCGAAGGTTCCTCGTAGGACGAATATTCGTCGTAATCGCTGTAGTCAACGTACACAAAGTCGGTGCTGCTTCCACTGGTCGGGGGTGGAGTTTCAGTAGAGCGGGGGGGTGGCATACTGTTGAAGAAGCTGCTGTCCGTCCAGGAAGAGGTGGGCGCTGAAGTCATGGTCTCCGTGGTTAAACCAAACAAACTAAGAAGACAAAAAGAAGAGCGTCAGTGAGATCAGGACGGCTTAAAAACAGTTATTGATCTATAGCTGTGTTTCCACCTAGAGTTCCCTTACTTTTAAGAGCCAGGAAATACTTTTGAGGATCTGAAAGGTTTCTTGAAAAATAAATCCCTGGAAAGAAAATGACCAGGAACTTCTGGGTGGAAACATAGCTTAGTGCACTGAATTTCAAAGTATCACCTCCTACCAACATATTCAACAAGTCATCATAATCAAACAAAGAGCAAAGGTCATCAAATCAACAACATAAAGTATTCCTGGTTACCCTGACCTGCTGTCGGTGGTCGACGGGAACGTGCTGCTGAAGTGGCTTGAGTCTTTAAAGTTGATGTTGGTAAAGATGTCAGAGTTGGTGGAGTTTGTGGAGTTGTCGGAGTTGGTGGAGTTGTCAGAGTTGGTGGAGTTGTTGGAGTTGTAGGAGTTGTAGGAGTTGGTGGAGTTGTTGGAGTTGTAGGAGTTGGTGGAGTTGGTGGAGTTGTAGGAGTTGTAGGAGTTGGTGGAGTTGTTGGAGTTGTAGGAGTTGTAGGAGTTGGTGGAGTTGTCAGAGTGCGTGGATTTGGTGGAGTTGTCAGAGTTGGTGGATTTGGTGGAGTTGTCAGAGTTGGTGGAGTTGCTGAGGTTCCCCTCGCTGCAGGACTTGCAGCACATCTGACGGTATCCCGCGATGGAGCAGTACCGGCTCAACGTCTCCATCCGACAAAACACTGAGCGGTCACCACGGCATCGCTGTCCTGAAGACAGAGAAGATCAACATGGACAATCAACCCCAAAGAATTGCAGAAAGTATAAATGCAGAGAGGAAGAGGAGTGTGTTTACTAGAGGAGATCTTTGGAGCTGGGAAGGCTGGGTTGGACCTGGACAGCCACTGAATGATGGCGTTCTTCTGGTCTCCTGCAGGGCAAACAAGCGGTGAGCAACAACAACACACAGACTGCAACTCTTTGTCAGTGCACTTATATTTGCTTCTGATTGGTCAAGGCCTACCGCTACAAGGAGGGGGCTGGCAGGTGCGGGTTGTGATTGGTCGAGGGTCGCTGCAGTTTTGGGCTGAACCTCCAGGACTGGAACACACAACCTGACGCTCCCGAGTCCCGTTTCCACAGGATACTGAACACTGCAACCACAAACATGCTGATCAGATTCAAATGTTCAGAATCTAGAATGATCAGGATTTGGGGTCAACAAACCTCCAAAGGGTTAAAGTCACTCATAGTAACTGTACGAGTAAGAAGGTAGTCAAGAAATGAGAAAGTGAGATTTACCAGAAAGAAGGTCAAGTTAGTCCAGAAAGGTGGAGGTAGTCCAGACAGACGAAAGGAATTTAGACAGGTCAGAGAAGGGATCAAGAGGAACTGAGAGGTAGATCAGAAAGAAGTGAGAGGTAGTCCAGAAAGAAGAGAGAGGCAGTCCAGAAAGAAGTGAGAGGCAGTCCAGAAAGAAGTGAGAGGCAGTCCAGAAAGAAGTGAGAGCTAGTCAAGAAAGAAGAGAGAGGTAGTCCAGAAAGAAGTGACAGATAGTCCAGAAAGAAGTGAGAGGTAGTCCAGAAAGAAGAGAGAGGTAGTCCAGAGAGAAGAGAGAGGGAGTCCAGAAAGAAGAGAGAGGGAGTCCAGAAAGAAGAGAGAGGGAGTCCAGAAAGAAGAGAGAGGTAGTCCAGAACGAAGTGAGAGGTAGTCCAGAGAGAAGAGAGAGGGAGTCCAGAAAGAAGAGAGAGGTAGTCCAGAAAGAAGTGACAGATAGTTCAGAAATAACTTAGTCTATACATTCCCTTGTGGTAAATCATCCTTGTGAAAATTCCCCTAGCTTCCCTTAGCGTACCGGGGTCCAGGGTCCAGCCCTCCAGGCAGCGGGGCAGGGGGTGCGGTTGCAGGTTCTCTTCCCCTCCGGTCGGTCCTCTCCACACAGTGTGCTGTGCACTGAGCGCGGCTGCTTCCCAGCGCTGGCCTCCTGCTGGCAGCCGACCCAGCGGCGCTGCCACCCCGTCTGACCACAGGAGGCGCTGCAGTCCTCCCACTCCCCGGTCACCCAGCTGAGGGGCAGGAACAGCACAATTTTAGAAGCCATTTTTTTTTTACTTTGTTTATTGGGTTTTTTCAACAGCATACAGTTATTCTATCAGCATGTATCAAAAGTAGGTAAACAAATCTTCACTTTATAGAAAATAGGTAGAGTAACAATGTAAATACTGCTTAAGACCAGGGCAAACTAAATCCATCCGTGGGGTCTCTTAAACCTTGTGTCATCATATCATATCATTGTATTTCCACATGGATATTTTGTAACTTTTTTATGCTATTTTATTTCTATTTCAGAAATATTTTGGATTGTTTATTTCTAGTCTTTTAATTTCTCTTATGTACATTGCCTTGTGTTTTTATGCTGCTGCAACGCAAACATTTCCCAAATTGGGATCAATAAAGTACTTCTTATCTTATCTTATCCTCCAATTGATTGAATCCGCCATTTAATCAGCAATGCACCAGGAGGATCTGGCTTTTGACGGGAATTACTTTGTTTGTTTTGATTCAAGTTACGCCCAAAACGCACCTATAAATAATTCAGAAAATGGATGGAAAAATTATGAAACTGCTTTGCAACCACCCCTTGTATATTACTTTTACAGTGACGAGTTGCAGGTGTTACCGTGACGAGCTGCAGGTGTTACCGTGACGAGCTGCAGGTGTTACCGTGACGTTACCGTGACGTTACCGAAACGTTACCGCGACGTTACCGTGACGAGCTGCAGGTGTTACCGTGACGTTACCGTAACGAGCTGCAGGTCTCCGTGTTGCAGGTGCGGCTGATGGCTCTCGGTTTGTTGATGTTGGAGCAGAACGTCCTTTGAACCATTTTCCCGTCAGCTTTCCTCCTGCAGCCGAACCTCGTGTACTGCTTCCCTGGCGACAAGACAATACCGTTAAACTTCGCCTAAATGCACCGCGGTCAGGTAGTTGTTAACTCTTCCTGTCAGGTACATGTTAGCGCTTCCTGCACCGCGGTCAGGTACATGTTAGCGCTTCCTGCACCGCGGTCAGGTACATGTTAGCGCTTCCTGCACCGCGGTCAGGTACATGTTAACCGGTACGCTTCCTGTACTTGTTAACCGGCAGCAGTGTTATTTACCTCCCCCACAGGGCTTGGAGCACTGAGACCACTTCTTCAGTGCCCACTCGTAGAAGATGGCGTCCTCCTGCAGCAGGTTGGACTCCAGCGAGGACTGGAGGCCATCCGGGATGATGTATTTGTAGGAAACCGTGACCTTGGACTCACCGTGGGAACGAACCTGAGGGACAGAAACACGGGAGGCGCATTTTTACTGATTAACGAACAAATACAATCAGATGTTTCTGCCATCCCATTAAGAAATCAAAGGACCTCTCTCCAGAACACATTTCAGAACAGGGTTTTAAGTGCCTCAGTGAGGCGTTTTCAGGTGTTGTTGGACTTGTTTTCAGGTGTTGGTGGACTGACCATGACCAGGACTCCGTACTTCAGGGGTCCGGTGGTCTGGATGGACTCCTGCTCATCAGTGTTGCTGTACTCCCACATCGCCCCCTTCTCAATCACCACCCGGGACTCAGGGAGCTCCGCCTCAGCGTTCAGGAAGAGGTGACCGGTCTCCGTGTTGGTCATCGCTTGAAACAATAAAGACACTCGGTTTAACTGGATCAGGAAGACAAGCTACAGACGATCCTTTCATCCTCCCCTCCTTCATCCTCCTCTCCTCACCCAGGATGTGAGGAGTCCCTCTGAACTCCTGGATCAGGAGGTGTCTGGCTCCTTTCGGGATCTCCAGGATCTTCAGGTATCCTGTAGAAAAAAAATGTGAGTCCAAAAGGGGTCGTATTAACACCACTTTATGATTTCTGAAGTAGAAAGCTAAAGGAACTACAGCACGGTCACATGACTTCACGTCACTACCGCTAAGCTAAAGGCGGCTAATGTTGGGCTATAAAGGAACTACAGCACGGTCACATGACTTCACGTCACCACCGCTAAGCTAAAGGAGGCTAATGTTGGGCTATAAAGGAACTACAGCACGGTCACATGACTTCACGTCACCACCGCTAAGCTAAAGGAGGCTAATGTTGGGCTATAAAGGAACTACAGCACGGTCACATGACTACACATCACCACCGCTAAGCTAAAGGAGGCTAATGTTGGGCTATAAAGGAACTACAGCACGGTCACATGACTTCACGTCACCACCGCTAAGCTAAAGGTGGCTAATGTTAGGCTATAAAGGAACTACAGCACGGTCACATGACTTCAAGTCACCACCGCTAAGCTAAAGGTGGCTAATGTTGGGCTATAAAGGAACTACAGCACGGTCACATGACTTCACGTCACCACCGCTAAGCTAAAGGTGGCTAATGTTGGGCTATAAAGGAACTACAGCATGGTCACATGACTTCACGTCACCACCGCTAAGCTAAAGGAGGCTAATGTTGGGCTATAGAGTGGCGAAGTCACGCCCATCTACTTCCGCCCCATGGGACCTTATTTCGGAAAAATAATGTATTGAAGTCAATGGAGAGAGAAAACTTATCTTTCGATCCCGTTTGAATTGTGCCATGAATTACACATATGATGTTTGTCAATCTTAAAAAATAATTTCCATGTCAAAAAAGTCACAGTTTGTCGTAAAACTGTTGAAATATAAGACTATGAAAAATACGCAACTAGAAAGACTACAAATCCCAGAGTCGCGTAAGACAATTGAGACACTAAGATCAGCACAATTGAGATAGCTAAGATCAGCGCCATATAGATAGAATCTATCTATATGGCGCTGGCTAAGATAAGATAACTTTAACAAGATGCCTGTGTGCTTAGTACCAGGTTGTTATTATACCAGCAATGGGTCTTGCTCGTTCTTTCGCTTCCCGTCTGATGAAAGGACCAGGAGTGTCTGGATCAAGCTAGCTAGTAGCTAGCACGTTAGTTAGCATTACAGCCTTGTCATTTGTATTAGCCTTAACATGAAGTAACATTAAGTAACTCAAAATGTTAAACAGTAAGAGTAGTAGTCATATTTCGTGAACCCTTTGAAGAGTACTGTCACCGGTGTGATCATTCTATAATACACCATTTAAGCCCGGGGGAGAAATGCTAACGCTAACGCTAGCGATCTTCTCTACTTCATGCTATCTGCACAAATGGTTGACATTAAACATTAAAACGACCAGGCAGTTCAGAGAGAATCAAAGGAAGGCAGGCAGGCAGCTTTGCATGACATTCTTCAGGACGTGTTTCATTGTGGTGATAGTGAGGGTAGTCAATCGTTTTGTTGACAAGACAGTAGTGACGGCCATCTTGGTGACGTGTGTTGTTGACCAGAGATGTAGTTCATTGAGCGTTTCACACAAACAAATGTGTTACTTCACAGTTTTACGACACATTTTTTTTTTTTTGACTTGCAAAATTACGTTTTAAATTGACAAACATCATATGTGTAATTCGTGGCACAATTCAAACGGGATCGAAAGATAATCTTTCTCTCTCCATTGACTTCAATACATAATTTTTCCGAAATAAGGTCCCATGGAGGTCCACCGGAAGGGGAGGGACTTCGCCATTCTATAAAGGAACTACAGCACGGTCACATGACTTCACGTCACCACCGCTAAGCTAAAGGTGGCTAATGTTGGGCTATAAAGGAACTACAGCATGGTCACATGACTTCACGTCACCACCGCTAAGCTAAAGGCGGCTAAGGTTAGCGTGGTGATATCACCTGGCTTCCTGGTGCTGCGGGTGAAGTTGCCCTTGATGATCTTGCAGCTGGAGTTGTCTCCTCCACAGACTCCACAGCGGTCCTCCTCCAGGTCGGAGGCGATCTGACCGTCACAGCCCACATGCTGGGGGGGGGGGGGGTGGACACTAGCATTAGCACAGAGGAAGAACTGCACTGACATGTACTTCCTGTTCCTGAAAACATGTCAGTTTGGGACTAGTAAAGTACGAAGAGCATCAGGGTCACGTGATGTGGGGGGATGTGACCACAGGTAAGGGATGTGACCACAGGTAAGGGATGTGACCACAGGTAAGGGATGTGACCACAGGTAAATACAAGTTTAGAGTTCTGACTTTAATCTCAAAAGCCTGATCTTTTGTCACATCCCAAAACATATTTTTTATTTGACCCTAATCATGAGGCTCATAAGGCTCATGAGGCTCATAAGGCTCATAAGGCTCACATGAGGTTCATTAGGCTCATAAGGCTCACATGAGGCTCACATGAGGCTCATAAGGCTCATGAGGCTCATAAGGCTCACATGAGGCTCACATGAGGCTCATAAGGCTCATGAGGCTCATGAGGCTCACATGAGGCTCACATGAGGCTCACGTGAGGCTCATGAGGCTCACATGAGGCTCACATGAGGCTCATGAGGCTCACATGAGGCTCACATGAGGCTCACATGAGGCTCACATGAGGCTCACATGAGGCTCACATGAGGCTCACATGAGGCTCACATGAGGCTCATGAGGCTCATGAGGGTCTAAGGTTTGGGATCCAGGACAAAGACAGAGTGACTGAAGCAGAATAATAAAGACCTCACACTCTCCTTGGACGCAGACGCTGTGTGGGTCGCTGTAGGAGCACGGCGTCCCATCATGCACCTGGCGGCCCATCAGAACCACCGCCGCCGTCTCCTGGGAGACGCAGGACAGACGGCAGCGCTCATCCACTGCAGGGAGACGAGACATGGGACATGTGACATGTGACATGGGACACGTGATATGTGACATGTGACATGTGACATGTCTATTATAAGGAGATTCACTAGAGTACATACATGTAATATAAACATTAAATAATATTCATTTATAAATATAATGTTAAAGACAACGCAGAGTGTATATGTTCAGAGTTTAAAGAGTTAAAGAGAGGAGGGAGAATAACAGATTCCACACACACACCCACATACACACACACATGCGGGTTTTTGTGAACTAAAAGGACACTTTGACCCAAACACGTTTTTTCCATCATTAGGTGGACACCCCTTTTCACTAGCTTTACAAAGATGTTTTGAATATCAAAAAATCTATTTTGAGCCATACAACACAAATCCCACTTCAAATGTCCCATACACATAGCACAACTCAAAATACAACAACCTGACACCATGCTTCATTATGAGGACAGCAGATAATGAGCTGCATAAGCCCCGCCCATGACACAATGGTTATTTGTGAGGACAGTAGCTATACAACACACAAACATGTCACTGAAGTGTATTAAAGGGACAAACATGATTAAATGGAACATAACTTTACACAAACGTGTTGGATTGTGCATTACAAGAACAAACCTTTTATAAACGGACAAAATGTTTTGCACAACAGCATAGGAATACCTGATTTGTGATGTAATATTTTAATAGACAATATAGTGCACCATAGATATATAGCTTAAAAGTATGTTAATGTGTTTTGGTTATTGCTTGCCTCCTGTTTGCAATCTGTTGTTTTCATGCAAATGTAGAACCACATTCTAATACTCTCCAGAGGGGTATACTACAAGCAGGTCTTCCGAGACGAATTAAATCCATTTGCAAGTAAATGCTTATATTTGCAGCACTGCTAATTGCAATTACATCATCGATATGAAAAGAACCGATAACCATTTTATAGCAAAGTGACCGAACTGGTTTATCACTAATACAAAATGCTATTTGCCCTACAAGACTGCTCATCTACTTGGAGCATTACCGTTTAAAAGCTGATACAAAAGGACATATTGCACCTTGCACAGTGAACAATGAGCCAAGTTTAATGGTTATTTTCACATAACATTTTCTCACATGAAAATTGAGCTAAGACTAAATCTTTATTATTTTAAACATATAACTCTCCTTCCAGCATTACCTTGGTACGACAGAGGATTAGGGCCACACAAAAAAGAAAAGATAGGAGAATAAAGTCTTAATTACGAGATTAAAGTAGCTATGTTAGGAGAATAAAGATGAAATTATCCCGGGGGCTGAGGGGTCATTGCAGCAGATCTTCAAGGAAGTTATATTGACAGATTGGAACTGGAACGGATCAATAACTCATAAACAAAACTTTGCTAAAACACAAACTAACTACCGTAATAAGGTAAACAACTATCCACAATCCAATTTTCATCAAAACAACCTCACACCGGCCGCCCTCCAAGCTGGACACATAACACAGGTGTCTGTCTGCAGCCGGAGGAGAGAGGAGGGGTCATGGACCGTCTACAAAGTGCAACGCTGAAGAAAATACTGCAAATAAACTACTAAAACCACCTATTTTCGCAAACTTGCATGTGTAGTTTAAGCAACAGTATATTATTGTGTGATTTAAAATGTGATGTTTGTAGCTTTATAACAGAGCAGTTATTGAGTATAGTATCTTTATTCAGCGTTGCACTTTGTAGACGGTCCCTGACCCCTCCTCTCTCCTCCGGCTGCAGACAGACACCTGTGTGATGTGTCCAGCTCAGAGGGCGGCGGGTGTGAAGTTGTTTTGATGAAATTGGATTGTGGATAGTTGTTTACCTTATTACGGTAGTTAGTTTCTGTTTTAGCAACGTTTTGTTTATGAGTGTTTGATCCGTGAAGTTCCAATCCTTCAATATAACTATAACTATCTGCTGCAACGACCCCTCAGCCCCCGGAATGATTTCATCTTTATTCTCCTAACATAACAGCTTTAATCTCGTAATTATCCTTATAATAAAACATTGCTCCTACATGTAACATAATAATGAAAAGTTTAACTGTGAACTGTCCTCACTGCATGTTCGATTAAATCTCATCATCTTTTTTGTAGCAGTGCTTTTTTCTTCTGAGCCGTGCCTTGGTTCCTGACGAAGTCTCTAATATTTTGCAAAGAGCGACCAGCCAGAATAGGATGCTCTGCTGCTTTGCACTGTCTGCATTCTATCATCGTGGCCAATCTCCCCTTGGCAATGTGTGCATTAAAGTGTCTCAAAACTGCTGCCACCTCTTTTGGAGACCACTTCTGTTTTTGCATCCTCCTGGGATTCCTCTCCACAGCATTTTCAAGAGACTCTACAAACAGAAAAAGAGATCAGTCAATGGTAACCACGTTAACACGTATTTTATTTAAGATGTATTATGTTACTTACTAAAACTATAACTACAAATGGGTTTGGGATGAAGGAATCGAACTGTCTTTCCGGCTTTCATTCTTCCAATTTCTGATATTGTGCTGGTTCTGAACAATAGCATGTAGGGATCAAATGCTAATGCTTGCTCTTTGCCATATTTAAACATCTGTAAGTCTAACTGTGCAGAGCTTGCAGGAATGATTCTTCTGTATGTAGGGTTACGTTTTCTTTTTTTACTTAAGCAGCTTAAAGTTAGTATTTGACATAATAATAGTACTAACAGGATCAAGTTTTCTGAGACTTGTATTTCGTCCTCACAATGTTTTTAAATGACTTCTTAACAGGAAAAAGACGCATGTAACAATATAGTTTCAGGAAACCATATTCTGATCATTTTTGGTCATGATAAACTCAAATCTTCCAGTTTAACAGAAAAATTCAGTTCATGGCTTTAACGTTTAACGCTTCACGATAACCTGAACCAGGGTTTAACCTCCATGCTTGAGAAAGTGACTCATTGGTAGTAGCAGAGTATTTTGTGTACATTTACCAGGTGGCTCATGCATGTCCCCTCTCCTGCCAGGCTCCTTGTCATTCTCATCTGCATTTGTGTTCAATGATAGAAAAGAAGAAGAAAACATCCATCTTAACCAAGAGATTTGTGTAAATATTCAATCTTCATTTCAGCTATTATGTTATTACATGATTACAAAAGCAGGGAGTCTACACCCGCACCTTGACAAAAAAGAAAGGTGATACTTAAAGTTGTGCACCTACTGAGCAGCTCTTACTGTGGATTAGCTTATTTTAAGTAAATGTTCCAGCTCAGCTCTTGTTCTTACAATGTTGTGTCGTTTATTGTAAGGCGCTTTGGACCAAAATTAACAAAATGTATGTAGCCTTTGCTGAGAGTGATTTTAAGATATCAAAAACATTTGAAGGAGCACCGACATTTAGATGATAGCAGCTTGATAGAAGAACAGCGGCTCTTCATCCTCCGCAGAATGTGGAGGTTCAACATGGACTCCAGGATACTCTGCAATTTTTACAGGTGCACCATAGAGAGTATCCTGACTGGCTCTTGTTGTGAGTTATTACAATCAGGTAGAAAGACACTGATTATAGTATTTCATATCTAAAGAGTATGATCATTCAGTTTAACAGAAGAAAAACAGCATTGACACACAGTCCTCTTAGTGTCTAAAGCTGTCCAGTAGAGTGATACACAGGACCTGTGTATCTAACCTCAGCATTCACATCCAGTCTTCATGGTTTGTAACTGGAAAGAAACATGTAACTAATACCAACATTGAGCTGTGGTTAACTCACCTGTTGAATGTCATCATAGTGGGACTCAGATGTCATGGCAGCATCTTCATACAGAGGCCGTTTCTCAATCGTGAGGATGCTAGCTTGGTAGCACAGCCGAGCCGAGCATCTTGCTTCAGAAGCGAGGCAAGAATACTTCCTGGCATTCGGAAAACAAAGAGTGGAACAGGCTAGCAAGTGTGCAGGTGTGCATCATATGAGAGGCCGCACCTTACATCTTCCGCCACAGATTTGGGGAAATTGGTCCATGCGCAAAGCATTGTGGGGATTTTAAGGACGCGAAGTCTACCCATGTGCAGCCTCGAAATTTCCCCCAAACCAAGGACGCGGCCTCGGTAGAATTCCAAGTATGGAACAGTCCTTCGGCAGCACTCGATGACGTAGCATCCTTGAAATATTGGCTTGGAAGCCAATATCCTCGCGATTGAGAAACGGCCAGAGTCTCTGCCTCAGTGGAAATCTTGTGGATGAAGAAGGACTAAGTTTAATCACGAAACATCCAGAGTAGTACACAAATGCTTCACTTGCTCTTGTTGTGAGTTATTACAATCAGGTAGAAAGACACTGATTATAGTATTTCATATCTAAAGAGTATGATCATTCAGTTTAACAGAAGAAAAACAGCATTGACACACAGTCCTCTTAGTGTCTAAAGCTGTCCAGTAGAGTGATACACAGGACCTGTGTATCTAACCTCAGCATTCACATCCAGTCTTCATGGTTTATAACTGGAAAGAAACATGTAACTAATACCAACATTGAGTTGTGGTTAACTCACCTGTTGAATGTCATCATAGTGGGACTCAGATGCCATGGCAGCATGTTCATACAGAGGGTGTTTCTCAATCGCGAGTACACTTGCTTGGTAGCACATGTCTGCCGAGCATCTTGCTTCAGAAGCGAGTCAAGAATACTTCCTGGCATTCGGAAAACGAAGTGTGGAACACGCTAGCAAGTGTGCAGGTGTGCGTCATATGAGAGGCCCCGCCTTACATCTTCCGCCACAGATTTGGGGAAATTGGTCCGTGCGCAAAGCATTGTGGGGATTTTAAGACCATGGAGTCTACTCATGTGCAGACTCGATATTTCTCCAAACGGAGTACGCCGGGCTCGGTAGATTTCCAAGTATGCTGGAGATTGGAACAGTACTTCGGCGGCACTCGATGACGTAGAATGCTTGAAATAGTGGCTCTGAAGCAGCTTTACTCGCGATTGAGAAACACCCAGAGTCTCTGCCTCAGTGGAAATCTTGTGGATGAAGAAGGACTACGTTTAATCACTAAACATCCAGAGTAGTACACAAATGCTTCACTTGCTCTTGTTGTGAGTTATTACAATCAGGTAGAAAGACACTGATTATAGTATTTCATATCTAAAGAGTATGATCATTCAGTTTAACAGAAGAAAAACAGCATTGACACACAGTCCTCTTAGTGTCTAAAGCTGTCCAGTAGAGTGATACACAGGACCTGTGTATCTAACCTCAGCATTCACATCCAGTCTTCATGGTTTATAACTGGAAAGAAACATGTAACTAATACCAACATTGAGTTGTGGTTAACTCACCTGTTGAATGTCATCATAGTGGTACTCAGACGCCATGGCAGCATGTTCATACAGAGGGTGTTTCTCAATCGCGAGTACACTTGCTTGGTAGCACATGTCTGCCGAGCATCTTGCTTCAGAAGCGAGTCAAGAATACTTCCTGGCATTCGGAAAACGAAGTGTGGAACACGCTAGCAAGTGTGCAGGTGTGCGTCATATGAGAGGCCCCGCCTTACATCTTCCGCCACAGATTTGGGGAAATTGGTCCGTGCGCAAAGCATTGTGGGGATTTTAAGACCACGGAGTCTACTCATGTGCAGCCTCGATATTTCTCCAAATGGAGTACGCCGGGCTCGGTAGAATTCCAAGTATGCTGGAGATTGGAACAGTACTGCGGCGGCACTCGATGACGTAGTATGCTTGAAATAGTGGCTCTGAAGCAGCTTTACTCGCGATTGAGAAACACCCAGAGTCTCTGCCTCAGTGGAAATCTTGTGGATGAAGAAGGACTACGTTTAATCACTAAACATCCAGAGTAGTACACAAATGCTTCACTGGCTCTTGTTGTGAGTTATTACAATCAGGTAGAAAGACACTGATTATAGTATTTCATATCTAAAGAGTATGATCATTCAGTTTAACAGAAGAAAAACAGCATTGACACACAGTCCTCTTAGTGTCTAAAGCTGTCCAGTAGAGTGATACACAGGACCTGTGTATCTAACCTCAGCATTCACATCCAGTCTTCATGGTTTGTAACTGGAAAGAAACATGTAACTAATACCAACATTGAGCTGTGGTTAACTCACCTGTTGAATGTCATCATAGTGGGACTCAGATGTCATGGCAGCATCTTCATACAGAGGCCGTTTCTCAATCGCGAGGATGCTTGCTTGGTAGCACAGCCGAGCCGAGCATCTTGCTTCAGAAGCGAGTCAAGAATACTTCCTGGCATTCGGAAAACAAAGTGTGGAACAGGCTAGCAAGTGTGCAGGTGTGCGTCATATGAGAGGCCCCACCTTACATCTTCCGCCACAGATTTGGGGAAATTGGTCCATGCGCAAAGCATTGTGGGGATTTTAAGGACGCGAAGTCTACCCATGTGCAGCCTCGAAATTTCCCCCAAACCAAGGACGCGGCCTCGGTAGAATTTCAAGTATGCAACAGTCCTTCGGCAGCACTCGATGATGTAGCATCCTTGAAATATTGGCTTGGAAGCCAATATCCTCGCGATTGAGAAACGGCCAGAGTCTCTGCCTCAGTGGAAATCTTGTGGATGAAGAAGGACTACGTTTAATCACTAAACATCCAGAGTAGTACACAAATGCTTCACTTGCTCTTGTTGTGAGTTATTACAATCAGGTAGAAAGACACTGAATATAGTATTTCATATCTAAAGAGTATGATCATTCAGTTTAACAGAAGAAAAACAGCATTGACACACAGTCCTCTTAGTGTCTAAAGCTGTCCAGTAGAGTGATACACAGGACCTGTGTATCTAACCTCAGCATTCACATCCAGTCTTCATGGTTTATAACTGGAAAGAAACATGTAACTAATACCAACATTGAGTTGTGGTTAACTCACCTGTTGAATGTCATCATAGTGGGACTCAGATGCCATGGCAGCTTCTTCATGCAGAGTCTCTGCCTCAGTGGAAATCTTGTGGATGAAGAAGGACCAAGTTTAATCACTAAACATCCAGAGTAGTACACAAATGCTTTACTTGCCTGTTGTTGTGAGTTAACACACAATATCCACCTCATAGTTCAATAACAGGTCATCAAGTCAATGGCCATCATTTAAAATCATCTTTTGTATTAATAGCATTTTGTATAGAACTGTTGAAATTTCAATTTTCCATGTGACTAACATATTGGACATGGCAGAGCTAAGTTTGTTGTGAACATAGTGTTAAATGATAGATTTACATAGCAGAGTGTTGATACAAGACACCATTCGTAAATACCTTGCATCTCCATGGCCAATCAGAATCACTGTAGTCATAAGCTATCTCTTCTCCAGGACTGATGTCTTTGAGTGCAAAAAGACAAAGATGGGGCTTTCCATCCACTTTGTTCAATTTCATTTTGCAGTTCGGGTTCACATGGTCATCGTTGACAAGTCTCCCTAGGGAGTTGTCCTCTTTGGCAGCATCAACACTGATTGGGCAAGGACACAATTCTGATTACAAACTAACAGTATTACAACCACAGCAAACTAGCATTAGATAAAATACATATAGACAAAAAAAGGCTCAATGTACACTGTATGCCCAACTTAACATCAAGATAGCAGCGTTTGCATGTCTGGGTAACTACACATTTAGAAATAACATTACAATATTTACTTACCATAACTCTTGTCCATTTATACGAAAGTCAAACATGAAAACCTTAAGTGCACAATGGTATACTTGTTGCCGGTGTTCACGTTCAGATTTAGTTATGACTTCCCCTCTATATTCAATTAGGAAGTCTCCGTTTTGAAAGGGTCGGCAGCTGAACACTCCTCGACCTAACAAAGATCAGAGGATGGGTCAGGAGAAGTGATGAGGTTAAACAACAATACACATTTGTCATGCTAATGACAAGAATAGTAAGCAAATACTTTTGTCACTCACCTTTGAAGGAATTTATGAACTTCACATCAAATCCATCCTTGTCTTTGCACAAGGATGTAAAATGTGCAGCCTCTTCTCTAGGTTTAATCTTTGCTCTCCGGGGTCTTGCTGATGCCATATCCAGCAAAGGGTTCATTTTCACTGTTGGTGAGAAAACAGACCCTTTGATTATCTACGCAAGCCATGCCACTGAAACAGCTCAATATGTGTAACAATGGCTGCTAAGTCAGTGCATTTGGCATCTATAAACAAAATAAACTGTTCAGCTTCATGTTTTCACTGGATGCTTCCCTCACAATCTCAACCACAGTGTTAACGCTGTTATGTATAGGTTATTGTATGGGTTTAAATGTACTTTACACTCAGATGCAGAAACAGATGACTAACTAACAGGCTGCTTCCAGCAGCTAACAGCTTGAAAAGTGCAGACAAATGTAAGACATGGAAAGCTGTGATTATAAGACGGCAATAACATAGGTAACAGTCAGCAATCACGCTAAATATCTGAGATATTTCATCAACTTAATCAGAGCATAGTTCACTGTTTACGCAGCAACGGGCTAACAGCTATGTCTGTGAAGCATGCTACTTTTACAATGTTTTACTCACATGGAATTGGAACTTACCAGGATGAATTACTCTCATCAATATTATCTACAAATGCTTGCTCAATAAATGTATGGAAAAAACTGCCTTAACCTGTTCCACTCTGAGCCTGTTTTTCAGGTCTCAGGCTCGAAAATGACATTCCCAGAACAAATGACCATATCTTCCCTTCTAAAAGGGTTAAATTAATAATCTTTTCTCAAAGTAATGATAAACCTGTGAGTTGGATGTAGAAGTGTCAGAATCAATATAAATGTTTTTTATTTTAAAGAAAATTCAGATTTTACATAGTAAAAAACTGTAAATTATAGTGTCCGTCCAAAAATTATTTTTTACAGATAGTGAAAACTACCCTTGGATGATGGGTTAGTAGACTAAAAGCTTTAGGAATCCAAAGTACAACATATAATAAGTACCCTGTATCAAGATTGATGCAAAACAAGTGAAATTTGACCTTTTTAGAGAGATTTAGCCAAAAACTGGGCCATCTGGGGTCATTTGGGTGGATTTGACCTATCTCTGGCCCCCCTTGCTCGATCTGGTTGGTTGACATACCCTTGTGACCGTTAGAGCCAATAGAATCGAAGGAGGATACCTACATAGACACACATTGTAAAGAAAAAATGTTGCCGCTTCGCGTGTGGAAAGCGAAACTAAACTGGAGGAATGTCTCCTTCTGGAGTTTGGAAACTAAAACGCAGTTGTATTGCTTATGGATTATCAGAAATAATTTCAAAGAAGGCACAGACACATAGGATGAACCTATGGATTAACTGCAGCATCGTTTTTTTATCGTTTTAATGCCATTGAAAACCACTTTTGACCAAGGTAAGCCATATTTATATGTTTAGCTTCTTGGCTCCACATGTGATGATGTACGCTTTCGTTGATAGCGTCGCAAATGTTTATCACTGAGTGTTGAGGTGGGCACCGTTAGATTCAGTGTCTCCAGGACACCAAAAAATAGTGTTTGGTTGTGCATCTAGGATAAGTAATAAGGGAGTTCTGAGTGAGTTTATGTGTCTTTGTCGGTCCCGTTTTTTCGATCGAGGCTAATTCAGAGGCTGAGTGCTAGCATTGTGGGTTTTTTTTGAAATTTTTTTTTAAAAAGATCAGTTAGCTGAGTTTCTTCCCGTTACATGGATATAACACATTCATAGTTTTATTCAATATTAAGATTCCTTAGACGTTGTTTCCTGCAAATGACGCGTTTATCCGCCCGGTACCGGGGGGAAGGCGTGAAACAGGTTAAATAACATTATTTTGAATAAAAAACTCAAATGTAGGCCTACTGACTAGATGAATGCTGACACGTGTCCCCAATTAAGCTAGCATTAGCCGTAGCTGCTAACGTTTTAGCCTAAAACGTGTCTCTAATTCCAGTGTTTCCCCTACCATTGTCTTGGAGGGGCGCTGCGCCCCGCCTGAAATTCAAGGTGTTTAAAAAAAAAATTGCAACTAATCTATAGCCTATCTACTGTCACTTTTCACATTGAACATGTGCTCTTTTATTAAATAAACTACATGCTTTCATTTTAAGTTGTGAGTTTAGTGTTTTTGACCCTAAGAAACAATGATGCATTAATCAATAACAATAATCCACAGCTCCTCTCTCTGCTCCAGAGGATTTAAAAAAAAAATATCCTAATGCCACCCCCCCCCCCCCCCAAAGCAGTAAACCTAGGGGAAACACTGAATTCCATACAGTTTCAACAAGCTTCCAATATAAAAACATTGAGAAGCCTCGAAACAAGAATGAAAACATAACATATTAGCTGTGTCATTTAAGTTTTTACACCAGTCCTACCTTGAACTTCTCCTCACGTCTGGCGAATGAAATGCGAATATGCCCTGACTGTCACCGCAGTCCGGGGAGTCCCTCCCCCTTGTGAATTTCCACGGACTGCTGATTCCCAAACGTCAAGATATTATTAAGGGCAAATGTATACATTCACGATTGGATGCATGTAAACAAAGATAAAGTTACCTTATTAAAAGTAAATTATAATTTATTGTAACATTTAGCTGAGCTCCATGTAATCCGGATACTCTGCCTATTTTTCGGACATATGATGATGCCTGCTCGGCCCGGGCCCGGACACAGAAATAATTTGCGTGGTTACCCGCTGGGGTATTGCGAACTAAAAAGTTGCCTGGCTGGTGCATGGGCTGGAGCTGCGAACCAAAACGTGAGAGGGTTACGTTGCAGGCTGTGGAAAGATTAACCTGAACTATATAGCGAGTACGGAGAAAACAATACAGTTGCTACATAAGCAGTAGAGCTGAGAACGCAGTGATTAAAACACAACCCCACATATTAATGTACATAACCTATGTAGTAATGTTACGTAACATTAACCAGTACCCGTACATTTTCCACCACATTTTAGCTGACTATCCGTTACTATCATTGACCGTCATAACAGCGGCACAAGCCATTCTTCTGTTGTTGTTTTATACAATAATGACATAATATAGTATTAAACAAAAGCCTGATAATTAAATGTCTAAACTGCAATGAAATGTAGGTAGTATTAGACATAATAATAATAATAATAATAATAATAATAATAATAATAATAATAATAATAATAATAATAATTACATAATAACATAATAATAATAATAATTATTATGTTATTATTATTATTATTATTATTATTATTATTATTATTATTATTATCATTATTATTATTATTACACACACAGCATTTTTCACAGAAACATGAATTGTCAGGACCATCCGGCAGTCAGCCAATCAGAGCTCCTTCTGTGTGAATATTCATGAGCGGGTGCAATACCCAAAACCAGCTGTATGAGCGCTGTTCTGACACACAGAAAATACACAATTTCTGGGTTTTGTGTATAAAAAGGTATTTTTTTTTTTTTTGGGTATTTAAGCTTTCTACACCTATAGAAACACTTCTACGCTTTTAGAATTTGTATTTATTAGCAGGACACCGACCCTGTCCTGTTCATACAAAATGTCTGGCTAATGTCGGTGTGTATTCATACCAAAAGTCCTCTTAATTAACAAAGGTGCACACACACACACACACACACACACACACACACACACACACACACACACACACACACACACACACACACACACACACACACACACACACACACACACACACACACACACACACACACACACACACACACACACACACACACACACACACACACACACACACACACACACACACACACACACACACACACACACACACACACACACACACACACACACACACACACACACACACACACACACACACACACACACACACACACACACACACACACACAGGAAACTTTAATCTAATCTTGAAGTTCCAGGAAGAATGGAATGCATGTGTACCGTGTGTATTATGAGTGTGTATTTGTGTGTATTATGAGTGTGTACAGTGTGTATTATGAGTGTGTATTTGTGTGTACGGTGTGTATTATGAGTGTGTATTTGTGTGTATTATGAGTGTGTACAGTGTGTATTATGAGTGTGTATTTGTGTGTATTATGAGTGTGTACAGTGTGTATTATGAGTGTGTATTTGTGTGTATTATGAGTGTGTACAGTGTGTATTATGAGTGTGTATTTGTGTGTATTATGAGTGTGTACAGTGTGTATTATGAGTGTGTACAGTGTGTATTATGAGTGTGTATTTGTGTGTATTATGAGTGTGTACAGTGTGTATTATGAGTGTGTACAGTGTGTATTATGAGTGTGTATTTGTGTGTATTATGAGTGTGTACAGTGTGTATTATGAGTGTGTACAGTGTGTATTATGAGTGTGTATTTGTGTGTATTTACGGTCGGGATGTTGATGAGGAAGCCAGTGATGTTTGATTCCTTCGTGTTCGAAGAACGGGTTCCAGGCTTTACACTGATCCTCCCTGAGACACACACACACACACACACACACACACACACACACACACACACACACACACACACACACACACACACACACACACACACACACACACACACACACACACACACACACACACACACACACACACACACACACACACACACACACACACACACACACACACACACACACACACACACACACACACACACACACACACACACACACATTATTTACATACATAACAACACCTGGGATATATATTGTACATTCTGTGTAAAATAATGATTCTGCTGGCTGCTTATTGTTTTTGACCAACACCTGTAGTATAACACTGTGCAATATATATATATACATATATACTTATATACTAGTTATTATAGTATATATATATAATAGTAGTATAGTTTTTATTTTCAATGATGTTCTTGACTCTTTATTTCACTCTTATCTAAATGTTTGTCTGTATCTGTAGGAAAGGTTCTGTTTAAATAAAGTGTATTTATTAAATCCTACAGGTGTGTCCCCACCTGTAGTCTGTGAGGGGGGGGCAGTCCTCTCGCTGGCACACCTGGAACTCAAAGCTGTTCCCGGGGCAGTGTCGACCCCCGTTGTTGGGCCTGAGGAAACAACAAGGTTCAAGGCTTGTATTGGTCATCTGTACACAGCAGCTACAGTGGAGATATCTCAATGAAGATCTGAGGCTCCTCCAACAGAGAAACACAGCAGCTACAGTGGAGATATCTCAATGAAGATCTGAGGCTCCTCCAACAGAGAAACACAGCAGCTACAGTGGAGATATCTCAATGAAGAGCTGAGGCTCCTCCAACAGAGAAACACAGCAGCTACAGTGGAGATATCTCAATGAAGATCTGAGGCCACTCCAACAGAGAAACACAACAGATAACAGTGCAAGTACATACAAATAGAATAGACTGTTAAACACCTGTTTGCATCTTACACATTATTTATCACTTGTAGACTCTTCTGGCACTACTTCTATTACATTTTATTGTATTTACTTGCACTGTTATCTGTTGTATTGTGTTGCGCTGTGGGAGGAGCCTGTGACCTCAGATTTCATTGGCATATCTAAACTGTAGCTGCTCTGTACAAATGAGGATAAAAGCCTTGAATCTTGAATCTCAGTGTCTCCTGATTGGTTGGTGAGATGATTTGACAGCTGACTCACGCGGGGGTGTCGCAGTAGTGCGCCCTGTAGCGCACGCCCCCCCCGCAGCTCCGCGAGCACGGGCCGAACGGGGTCCAGGGGCCCCAGCCGCCATCTTGTTTCAGGAGGTCAGGGGTCAGACGCATGCAGAGGCCCCGGAAACAGTGCTGTTACCATGGAGACAGGGAGCAGACACACGTTACTCTGTATGCTAAGCTACGGTAGCTGTTTCCTCTTGCTGTCACTCTTTACGCTAAGATATAAAGGAACTACAGCACGAGTTTGAAATGAGACGACTCAACTTCGTCACGCCCCGCATTCTTAACATTCTGAGAAAAGTCAACATTCGGAAAAAGTCAAAATTCTGAGAAAAAGTAAAGTCATAAATAAAGTGTTCTGGATTATAACCTCACCTTCCCCGGTCCACACTTGGTGCCGTGCAGCGCCGGGCCCTTCTTGGTCTTACAGTAGAACGGGTTGCTGTACTCGCTGCACCACAGCTGCTTGCAGGGGTCCAGGGTGGTGTACTGCACACACACAATCACATCAACAAACACACACAATCACATCAACAAACACACCAACAAACACACACAATCACATCAACAAACACACACAATCACATCAACAAACACACACAATCACATCAACAAACACACACACAATCACATCAACAAACACACACAATCACATCAACAAACACACACACACAATCACATCAACAAACACACACACAATCACATCAACAAACACACACAATCACATCAACAAACACACACACAATCACATCAACAAACACACACACAATCACATCAACAAACACACACACAGGCCCGTTCTCATTTAATCAAATGTCCCTCCTCGACTCCTCGACTCCTCGGTCCTCCGGTAGTGACCCGGAAATGAATTTTAGCGCGCCATGTTGAAGGACATCTCAATTCTCGAAATGCACATCGAGGACCGAGCATCGAGCGTCGAGGAGGCTCTCTGGAGGAGCTATAACCGAGGATACACTGATGGGTCCTCCAAGGTCCTCCACGGCTCCTTCGTGGATGCATTTCCGGCAACAGTGATGTTTCAAAGAGTCGAGACGCACGGCCGGACTGATCTCAGCCAATCACAGCTCTGCATGCATCCCCTGGATATTATTTTATTAACTGCTTTCATCGCGACGCGATGTTTACAGAGAGAACAGCTGTGAGGTCCGTGCAGAAAGCAGAGCAGTGTGTATAATATATATCACTCAGTATAACAGGCCTACTCTCTTTATTTGCTTTAGTTTAGTAGATATCTACAAACAAAGTCGATATTTTTCTAAAACCATTTAGTGCTTCACATAATAAAATACACAACGGCTGTAGCCTGATTATATGCTTTAGGAGCTGTAGGTGCGTGTGTGTGGTGTAGGTGTGTGTGGTACAGTGTGTGCGTAGATGCAGCGGACAGACAGGTCTCAGTTGGTTTGGTGTCCTCTGCTTACTTGTAATACTTGTAAATAAAACTTTTGGCCCGTCATTTATTTCCCTCATTGTAGCGACCAGAGAGGGGAGAGGGGGGGGGGGATATATCCAGTCTCTGATAGTGTTACGTTATTATGAGAGTGCTCTGTTTGATTCTGAAATTGTATGTATTTATATAAATATATACATATATGTGTGTGTGTGTGTGTGTGTGTGTGTGTGTGTGTGTGTGTGTGTGTGTGTGTGTGTGTGTGTCCGCATCTGTAGCCTGTTATTGTCTCATTATACCGCACTGTGAATGAATTAAAAGTAAATATATAAGTCGTCATGAACACATCTGTCCATCAGACAGAGGGCTGCTGTGCCTCCTGTCATCATTAATGGACGTCTCTTTAAAATGACCGCTCAGAGGAGAGGAGTTCTCATTTCTCTAACCGCCTGCTGCTTCCCCTCCTCTCTCCTCGGCTCCCCTCCTCGGCTCCTCCGCTCGCATCTCCTGTGGGCGGGACTAAGTCTCGAGGATAGGAGTCGAGGAGGGGAGTCGAGGAGGGACATTTGATGAAATGAGAACGGGCCACAATCCCATCAACAAACACACACACAATCACATCAACAAACACACACAATCACACACACAATCACATCAACAAACACACACACAATCACATCAACAAACACACACAATCACATCAATAAACACACACAATCACATCAACAAACACACACACAATCACATCAACAAACACACGCAATCACATCAACAAACACACACACAATCACATCAACAAACACACACAATCACATCAACAAACACACACACAATCACATCAACAACACACACACAATCACATCAACAAACACACACAATCACATCAACAAACACACACAATCACATCAACAAACACACACAATCACATCACAAACAACACACAATCACATCAACAAACACACAACAATTCACACCAACAAACACACAATCACAATCACATCAACAAACACACACAATCACATCAACAAACACACACACAATCACATCAACAAACACACACAATCACATCAACAAACACACACACAATCACATCAACAAACACACAATCACATCAACAAACACACACAAAATCACATCAACAAACACACAACACATCACATCACAACACACACAATCACATCACAAACACAACACAATCACATCAACAACACACACAATCACATCACAAACACACACAATCACATCAATAAAACACACCAATCACATCAACAAACACACACATCACATCACATCAAACACACAATCACACACAAACACACCAGATCACATCAACAACACAACACAATCAAATCAACAAACCACACACAATCACAACACACACAATCACATACAACACAATCACATCAACACACACAATCACATCAACAAACACACACAATCACATCAACAAACACACACACAATCACATCAACAAACACACACAATCACATCAACAAACACACGCAATCACATCAACAAACACACACAATCACATCAACAAACACACACACAATCACATCAACAACACACACACAATCACATCAACAAACACACACAATCACATCAACAAACACACACAATCACATCAATAAACACACACAATCACATCAACAAACACACACACAATCACATCAACAAACACACACAATCACATCAACAAACACACGCAATCACATCAACAAACACACACAATCACATCAACAAACACACACACAATCACATCAACAAACACACACAATCACATCAACAAACACACACACAATCACATCAACAAACACACACACAATCACATCAACAAACACACACAATCACATCAACAAACACACACAATCACATCAACAAACACACACACAATCACATCAACAAACACACACAATCACATCAACAAACACACACACAATCACATCAACAAACACACACAATCACATCAACAAACACACACACAACAATCACAATCAACAAACACACACAATCACATCACAATCAACAACACATCACACAATCACATCAGCAAACAACAATACACAATCACATCAACACACCACACATACAATCACATGCAAGCAAAAACCAAACACAACAATCACATCAACAAACACACAATCAACATCAACAAACACACACAATCACATCACAAACACACAACAATCACATCAACAAACACACACAATCACACATCAATAAACACACAACAACAATCACCATCAACAAACACACACAACAGATCACATCAACAAGCACACACAATCAGCATCAATAAACACACACACTCACATCAACAAACACACACACAATCACATCAACAAACACACACACAATCACATCAATAAACACACACAATCACATCAACAAACACACACAATCACATCAACAAACACACACAATCACATCAACAAACACACACACAATCACATCAACAAACACACACAATCACATCAACAAAAGACAAACTTTGTCCATGAATCATTGATCAGTCTCTCTTAAGAATGTCCGCCTGCAGAGTCCCTCTCACACTGCTCGTACCGCGGTGCAGAGGCTGTACCCCGGTCCGAAGTCGAAGCGGCACTGCTGGTCCAGGCTGTACTGAAACCCCGGCAACTGAGGCTGCACCGGCCAATCGTGGAGGAACGGGTCGTCACGGAGACAGTCATAGGTGCTGAGGAGAGACATGGAAAATGTGTTTACAACAAGGTTCCTCAATGTGGTCAGTTCCCATCCTGATGCAGGGTACCTCAACTACTCTACCTGCACTGAAATAAACAGTACTTAAGGAACGTTTTAAGATGTTTGTTAAAAATGTCCCAGAAATGGTTCAAAAGGTCAAATCTTTATCATCACACAGCAGCTACAGTGTACATATGGTCATGGAAAGTCCCAAGCTCCTCCAACAAACAATGTAGATATATATATAAGACACAAAACAATACAATAGAGCAGGATAAGTGAACTTCAGTATATCAACGTAACACAGAATAAGAGCTTAATGTTGTCAGTGACCAGAGGCCTGTACTACGAAGCCGAATTTTCCTAACCTGGATATGTTTGAGTTAGCCGGTTGGCCCAATCCAAAACATACGCGCTCTCGCTAAGCTGTACTACGACGCTGGTTATCAAGTGGATCGCTCAAGCCAGCCGTGTCCTATCTAGTTAGGTGCGCGTTCACATGAAAGGGGTGGTATTTGGAGCATTCGACCAATCTCAAACACGGACAAGCGTACTGACAGCGCAGCGTCATACTTCCTGAATGAAAAGTGAACTTTAATATTAGATAAATATGAAGAAGTTAAACTTTAAACATCCATGACTTAAACACTTTATCCAGGATCAAAGCCACATAGCTGCACCTGCAAGGTGAATACAGCTGGTAAAAGAAAAAGTGTTTGAATGCGTACATTAACAGGTTTATGATATCACTGCCCCGTCCAAGACACGAGTGGATCTGACTTTTATTACATTTGACTCGAGTGTTTTGTCAACTTAATGTGTTGCTTAAAATAATACTTCTGCATACAGTATGTGACACTGTGAGTGTTGCACGGCCAGATACGGCTCAGCTGACTCAGATAAGGAAATATATGATACATTATGATGTGATATGATATGAATGATAATGGGACACATCGACGTCTGCACTCACAGTGCCGCGGACTGTACTTAATGTTACTCTGATCCGGTTACTTATGTTGTGGCAGATATTTAAGTAAGCTTTCTTAACGCTAATGTTATAATAGTCAGATTGCTCTGAAGATGAGAAGGGATATTCTATTAATTTTCACGTTCACACAGTCAGTTGATTTTTGCCGGCCGTCTTTCCTGCAACGGCAGTTTTTCTGTATTTCCTTTCTCCTGTAATATGACTTGATAGCTTTAAACTCCACACACCCAGCTCTGATTGGTCAGCAGGCGGTGCTTTCACTGAGTTGATCTCTTAGCCTGCAACCTAACCTCCTCCCGAGGAGGTTAGCCGCTCAGCATAAGTTACCATGGAGATCTAGCCCGCTAAAAAGAGAACCAGCGTCGTAGGACCGGAAAGCCTGAGTTTTCCCTGAAGTCAGCCGGCTAAGCGAAAATCCGGCTTCGTAGTACAGGCCTCAGGTGACTGTCCTTAGCAAAGGAAAGGGTTCCCTTAACATCCTTCAGGTGTTCAGTTCCCGGGGTCATTCACCTGCACTGAATTAAACACTGTCTTGATTAAGGAACGTTTTAAGATGTTTGTTAAAACCGTCCTTAAACTGGTTCAGGGTTCAAACGTTTAAAGGCTTTATGTACAGCAGCTACAGTGTAGATATGGTAATGAGAAGGCTCCTCCAACAAGCACTGTAAAACAATGTATAAGACAATAAAACAAGTGCAAGAAAAAAATAGAGGACCCTGCATGACGAGCGTCTCAGTCGGCTTTTTGTGTACTTTCGGGTCAATAATGTGACGCTTTTTGCAAATGAACTAAAGGTGTGCAGCTGCTGCTCTGAGGAAAGATCAGGCTGAATTTACAATGGACCTTAATGGAGACATGTTGAACGTTTTTGTCACTTCATGCCCTCAAGAGGCATTTTGTTTAATTTCTTTTTTATTTTCAAGCTACAAGATGTTTTCTTTTTATGTCCCAGGAGTGGAGGGTTTGGGAGTTATGGCAGGTTTAAAATGCTGTATCAGCATTCCCACTAAATAAGAGCTAAATGTTCCAGGTGACTGTCCTTAGCGATCCTGTTAAGCCCTGAGCCTGTTTTTCAGGTCTCAGGCTCCAAAATGACATTCCCAGAACAAATGACCATATCTTCCTTTCTAAAAGGGTTGAATTAATAATCTTTTTTCTCAAAGTAATGATAAACTTGTGAGTTGGATGTAGAAAAGTCAGAATCAATATTTTTTTTAATGTTTTAAAGTAAATTCAGATTTTACATAGTAAAAAAAATTAAATTATAGTGTCCGTCCAAATATAACCCATTACTTATAGTGAAAACCACCCTTGGATGATGGGATAGTAGACTAAAAGCTTTAGGAATCCAAACTATAACATATAATAAGTACCCTGTATCAAGATTGATGGAAAACAAGTGAAGTTTGACCTTTTTAGAGAGATTTAGCAAAAGAAAACCCACCTCTGAGGTGATTTGGGTGCATGTTCCATATCTCTGGAACCCATTGGTCGATTTAGGTGATTGACACCTCTTTTTAACCGCTAGAGCCAATAGAATCGAGGGGAAGTTCCACATACACACACACGTTACCAAAGAACACAATAAAAAGAACACAATGGTGCTCTAGGAGGAGATTCAGGTGATAAGGTGGGGGGGGGGGGGGGGTTACCTTGGTTGCTGATTGGCTAATGGTTACACAAGACAAAACATCGTTATGACATCATAAAGTGGCCAAAATCTGATCAGCTCATTTTCAGTGTGTGTCTACAGAAGGTCCAGTTGTGATAGACACGGTTCGCCACTGGAGGGGACACATGTTGATGTAGAAGAGACATGAACAAGTGGATTTTGCATGATAGGTGACCTTTAACATCGTTCAGAAACACATGTCTCCGTGTGAGTGTCCCTGTGGTTCTGTGTCCTCAGGACTCACTTCAGGTAGGTGTGCAGCTCCTTCCAGCTGCAGCGGGACCAGTGGTACCGGTGGAAGGTGGCCTGGACCCTCGGGGACATGATGCTGCCCAGCGGGACGTCGTCCTCGCAGGCGTTCGCCTCTCCGTCATGCTCCATCCCCAGCCTGAGAGACAGGGACAGACAAGAGACACCTGGAGGTCAGTTTCCTTCACACTGGACACCAGTTAGCGTCTCTACGAGGACACCTGCGAGTCGTTATGGTCTCTACGAGTCATTATGGTCTCTACGAGGACACCTGCGAGTCGTTATGGTCTCTACGAGTCATTATGGTCTCTACGAGGACACCTGCAAGTCGTTATGGTCTCTACGAGTCAATATGGTCTCTACGAGGACACCTGCGAGTCGTTATGGTCTCTACGAGTCATTATGGTCTGTGTGTGTGTGTGTGTGTCTGTGTGTGTGTGTGTGTGCGTGTGTGTGTGTGTGTGCGTGCGTGCGTGTGTGTGTGTCTGTGTGTGTGTGTCTGTGTGTGTGTGCGTGTGTGTGTGTGTGTGCGTGTGTGTGTCTGTGTGTGTGTGTGTGTGTGCGTGCGTGTGTGCGTGCGTGCGTGCGTGCGTGTGTGTGTGTGTGTGTGTGTGTGTGTGCGTGTGTGCGTGTGTGTGTGTCTGTGTGTGTGTGTAGGTGTGTGTGTGTGTGTGTGTGTGTGCGTGCGTGCGTGTGTGTGTGTGTGTGTGTCTGTGTCTGTGTGTGTGTGTGTGTGTGTGTGTGTGTGTGTGTGTGTGTGTGTGTGTGTGTGTGTGTGTGTGTGTGTGTGTGTGTGTGTTGTGTGTGTGTGTGTGTGTGTGTGTGTGTGTGTCTCACACGTGTCCCGTTTCATGAGCAGCGACGAAGGCTGAGGAGAATCCGTCTTCGAGGACGAGGACACAGCTCCGGTGCAGCTGACACATTCCTTTAACTGGAGCATAACCTGCAGAGGTCAGGGGTCAGAGGTCAGGGGTCAGAGGTCGGGGAAATGGTGTTAGTATTAGTACTTGTAGTATAAGTACTTGTAATTAGTATACCCTGCATGCCCGAGGGCCCGAACTCCTGCCTGGTCAGGTACACGGTGTGGTCGTGCTGCTCGGCGTGGCTCTGCTCTCTCTGCTGGAGGTAGGACCAGCCGCACACGTTCTCCAGGCTCTTCTGAGGGTTCCCCACGGAGATCAGCTGCTGAGACTGAAGAGGAACACCACATGTCACCTGGTGTTATCTAAAGAGACTTACACACTCAGTACTGGGGACAAACCCCACAGGAGCAACTTGGGCTGAAGTACAACATCTTGTAGATTGTTGCTTTTTTTGCTTTTAAATTGTCTGTTGTTTTTACTTGTACTTGTTTTATGGTGTGTGAGCTTTGTTTGTTTATTTGACTGTACAGCACTTTGGTCTGGAGGTTTTAAAGTGCTTTATAAATAAAGCTGTATTGTATTGTAAGTGTCTCCAGGGACACAACGACATGCTGACTGCAGCGGAATAGAACCAATGCTCCCCTGATCCCAAGATCAACACACTATTCCACTGAGCCACAGCCTCCCAGCACCTTTATGGCGCGTTTCCACTACACGGCCTCGCTCGGCCTCGCGATCGGTATGGCTAGGCCTCGTTAGGACTGGCTCACTTTATGGCGCATTTCCATTACAGTTTAGGAACTGGGGTAGTATCTATAGTAACGCAGTGTAGGCGGAGCCGTGACGTCATCTTCAATGAGAACCCCAGAAAAACAACACAGCCGTTAGCTGTTAGCACTCAGAGCTCACAGCTCCTCATATATGTTCAGAAACTAGACAAAAGTTAAACAAGTACAAACCACAGACTGTCTGTGTCATGGCGAATACAGTCGCTGGTTTATTTATGTCTGTATAGGCCGTTGTTGTGAGTGTGGACGGTCGGAGCATATACTGCGTTAGCTTAGCCAATCTCCATTTAGAAAACACGCATTTTAAAAGGTTTTTCGCCTGCCGTCTGTCTGCAGACTTGACAAAGCATTAATTCATGGTTTTTACTAACCGGTATCAGTATGTTGTTACTTCGGCATCATTTTGAAACGTGTATTACAATTAAATCACGGTCAAATATGTCCATCTTGTTGTAGTTGTAGCCCCCTTGCCAGCGATGCTCTCTCTAGTTTAGCATACTCAGCCCGACTCAGCCTCGTTGTCTCTGGCCCTAGACCCATGATTTTATGAGGCCAGAAAAACTGTGAATTAGGACCCACCGGCCGGTACTAGGCCAAGTGGAAACGCAACCAAAGACGGGCCGCTGACGTCACAGCCCTCTTAAACCGTGCTCCGCGCTGTAGTGGAAACGCGGCATTAGTTCACTAGCTGACATGCTACACTTTTGGACGTAAGTCCTCTTCATCGCTCTGTGCTGGGAACATCTGGAAGCTCCATCCCTGAGGATCTGGGTAAAGGAACCTCTGGGTAGTGTTGGTTCCTCTCTGTACCACAGGGACCTTCTGAGTCACACAGGGACCTCCTGAGTCACACAGGGACCTCCTGAGTCACACAGGGACCTCCTGAGTCACACAGGGACCACCTGAGTCACACAGGGACCACCTGAGTCACACAGGGACCTCCTGAGTCACACAGGGACCTTCTGAGTCACACAGGGACCACCTGAGTCACACAGGGACCACCTGAGTCACACAGGGACCTCCTGAGTCACACAGGGACCTCCTGAGTCACACAGGGACCTCCTGAGTCACACAGGGACCTTCTGAGTCACACAGGGACCACCTGAGTCACACAGGGACCTCCTGAGTCACACAGGGACCTGCTGATTCACACAGGGACTTGCTGAGTCTCTTACAGCAGAGTTTGTACCTTGGATGGAGACAGCATGACGATCCGGACCAGCACTACGTTGATGTTGGCGCCCAGAGAGTGATCCTGATAGATCTCATTAACCTGGATCACAGAGGGGGGGGGGCACACATTACTCCATCTGAACATCTACTCTGAAAACATAAATGTTCCTGTACTCATGAAGAAACATCTTCAGTAACAACACATGCAGCATTTAGAGAACATTCAGCAACTTGAGGAGACATGGCAGCGTTTACTAAAAGCTGCAGAAACCAAACGCTGAAGAAGCTCAGAACACAACGGAGACCAGGGGACACTAAAGAGTGGCGCACACAGCTGGAGACCAGGGGACACTAAAGAGTGGCACACACAGCTGGAGACCAGGGGACACTAAAGAGTGGCGCACACAGCTGGAGACCAGGGGACACTAAAGAGTGGCGCACACAGCTGGAGACCAGGGGACACTAAAGAGTGGCGCACACCTTATTGTGGGGTTTCCTAAGTCTATTGAACTTTTTAAATCTCAGCTAAAAACTCACCTCTTTGCACTGGCCTTTAATACTAGTTGAACATTACATTTTTACATTTGTATGTGTTTTTTAAAATATTTTTCTAGTTATTGTGCTTTTTATCATGTTTTTAATTATTGTTTTATTATTGTACTCCCATTGTGTTATTTAATATGTATTGCCTGTACAGCACTGGTCAACTGAAGGTTGTTTTAAATGTGCTATATAAATAAATAAAGATTGAGATTGAGATTTCCTGTTGTTCCGGGTCATGGTGAAGTCTTCGGCTCAGAGACCAGACAGAATCAGGTTTCTGGTTCTAACTTGGCATTGACCCCCTGCTGGGTGACCTTTGACCCTCAGCAGCCTGGACCCCCCCCCCCATCATAGAGAGGTAATAAATCCACTTTGTGTCCAGCTGAGACGCGACTCACGGAGGAAGTTCAGCCGGACTTTGGTTCAGATTACAGTTTTTATGGGTTGGTTAGACGTGCAGTACGTTTACCCTCCACCAACATGCTGCATATCTAAACATCTGACTGTTTCTCTACCCCCCCCCCCCCCCCCCCCCCCCCAGGTGTCCTTTACCAGGTAAACATTATTCATAAAGCTGCTGGATTTCTCAAATGATGTTTTTGAGGCTCGTCTGTATTTCTGGGTGTTGCTGATCCTTTGTCTCGGAGGTTCTGAGGCTCTCTGTGCAGCTGGACTTTGGATTTCATGACGCATTAGTTAAACGTCCAGATGTTTTCTCTGATGTCCTCCTGTATCCTGCAGAGCTTTAGAAACACAGCGATCTGACCTGGGAGCATCTGGATTCTGTCTGAGAGCTTTATACCCCCCCCCCCCTCTCTGAGGACGAGGCCCACACGCTGTCCTCAGCACAGACTGCAGACCAACATGGGGCTCACTCTCTCTAAAGACTTTGCAGAGAAGTTTTTCTGGATGTCTGAGGAGAGGAATCTGTCTTCAGATCCACAATGTTTAGTTTAGTTAGATCTGGACCAACTTGTTAATGAAAGACCTGTGATTAAACACTCAGTAAATGCTTTCTTTATACTCCAGTTCAAGCTCCTTCTCTGTTCTTGAATCAGAAATCAGGCCGAGGAGAAGTCTGTACGGCGGACCTGAATCTCTATGAACGTTGATTTGTGTTATTGTGGGTATACAGGTTTGATTTACGGTGCTGTTAGTTTAAAATAATAAAGATATGTTAGTTAGTCTCCTGTCAAATCCACCAGCTGTTTCCTCTCACGTACTGAGAGTTATACCATCTGGTTCCAGGGCCGGTCCGGAGCCACATTGCAAACCAGTTTTTCGTGGCTCTCAGCCCAAAAACTGGTTTAACTGAAGCCCAACGATCTGCTCGGCCTGCACCGAGAACTGGAGAGTCGTTGCACTGACATCAAAAACATACTAATCCATATTATCTGTGACTCTCCTCTCTGCTACAGGGCTCTGAGCGGCGGAGCAGAAACTGGTTCTTAAGAGGCTCACAAGTTGAACGAACTGTGAATCAGACGAGCCCACAGAACTGATTTCAGAGAAGAGGAACATCTGTGAGTTCTGTGGACGTGGCAATGGAGGTTACTCCCTCCTGACTAATGAGGCGACGTTATCCACTTTCACCACAGAATTAAGAATCTGAGCATGTTTCCACTCACTATGTTCATGAGAGTCAGGAGATATTTCTGAATGTGGTCTCGACCGTGGAAGAGAAGAACGGAATAATCCACTGCTAACAAAACCTGCAGGAGGAAACAGAAGAAGTCAATCAGTTCATTCAACAGTTCATCAACCACTTCTAAAACTGTTCATCAACCACTTCTAAAACTGTTCATCAACCGCTTCTAAAACCACTTCTAAAACTGTTCATCAACCACTTCTAAAACTGTTCATCAACCGCTTCCTAAAACTGTTCATCAAGCACTTCATCAACAGTTCATAACTCTTTATTTACCTCGATGTTGAACTCTTCGGCCTCTTCGATGTAGCGCCGGTGTCGAGTGGATCTGGATCCGGTCCAAACGTCCTGTGTGAGGTTCAGAGAGCCTAACAGAGGACCTGCAGGGACACAAAGACCAACTTCACTCTGCCTGTCCTCAAAGACCTTTATGAGGACAGTATCTCAACAGGGGGTGTAAAAACAGATCAAGCAGTGAAGAAACAGGAAGTCATGGAGACGACCAAAAACCAAGATGGTGAGGTTGCGTCCACAAACCGGAGGGGGACGTCCCTTTTGTTAAACAGTTTGTGGATAGTCAGGCTTAACGATGATCATTGTCTGAACGATCCTGACTCTAACCGTCCTCACTGATTAAAACCTTCCCGTTGTTTCCTGTTGATCAGTCTCTAACCGGCTGAGTCACGGTGGACCGGAGCACAGAAACAGATGTTTCACTTCTGCAGATGTGTGGTTCATATATATATAAACATTTATGACTGAACGTTCTGTAGGTTAATGACCCGGCCAGTGAATACTGAAGCTGTAATGAGGTCTCTTAAACACTCATTGTCAGAAACTATTAGCTATTCTGCTTCGAGCTGCCTAGCTTTCAGTTAGGGGTTTTAACGTCAACGCTTTGTTTCTGTTTAATGTTCAGGTCTTCAAGGTGGAAGGAACTAAATCATCTGTGTTCCTGAGTTATATAAAGAAGTGTGTCGTGTTGTTATGAACATGTGTTTCTGTGTTAGAAACATAAGCCTGTGTGTGTGTGTGTGTGTGTGTGTGTGTGTGTGTGTGTGTGTGTGTGTGTGTGTGTGTGTGTGTGTGTGTCTGCAGGATGAGTTGATCTGAGGTGACGTAAACTGTGGGGAAGAGAAACAGATCCAGACGAGAAGCTGAACTATCCGTCAACTCACACAAACTGCAAAACCACCAAACTCTGAAACTCTGCTGCCACGTTGCAGTGTGTGTGTGTGAGTGTGTGTGTGTGTGTGTGTGTGTGTGTGTGTGTGTGTGTGTGTGTGTGTGTTGTAAAGCTTCCGTCTTCCCTGCCAAGTTTCCTGGAGCAGTTTCTGTGTTTTTAGTTTGATCATCTCTTTCTGCAGCTACACTGAGAAAAAATACACCTCTGATATTCACAACCTCTACTGTGACACTGCACTGCCTCCATGTTGCTAAATATACATCACAACAACACAACAACACAACAACACAACATCACAACAACACAACCTACAGTTAAAGAAGGATCTGAGGAAAGTGTTGATTGTGGGAGAGGCTTCAAGCTCACATTTGAACCCAGATAGCTAGAAAAACTTTGAGAATAAAACATAAATTGATGCTGTTTCATCCGCTGCTGGGTGAATGTTCCTCGGAGATCATAAATAATGACACGACTAAACTTCATCACATCCAACATTAGCCTCCTTTAGCTTAGCAGTGGTGACGTGAAGTCATGTGACCGTGCTGTAGTTCATTTATAGCCCAACATTAGCCACATTTAGCTTAGCGGTGGTGACGTGAAGTCATGTGACCGTGCTGTAGTTCCTTTATAGCCCAACATTAGCCTCTTTTAGCTTAGCGGTGGTGACGTGAAGTCATGTGACCGTGCTGTAGTTCCTTTATAGCCCAACATTAGCCTCCTTTAGCTTAGCAGTGGTGACGTGAAGTCATGTGACCGTGCTGTAGTTCATTTATAGCCCAACATTAGCCACATTTAGCTTAGCGGTGGTGACGTGAAGTCATGTGACCGTACTGTAGTTCCTTTATAGCCCAACATTAGTTCTTTACTTCAGAAATCATAAAGTGGTGTTAAAGGTCCCATGTCTTGGCCATGTCTACTGATCATAGTTCCATTGTTGAGGTCTACTAGAATAGATTTATATTGTGCAATTTTCCAAACTCACATTGGTTTCTCATACAGCATCTCTGTAAAGTATGTGTATTCCAACCCAGTTTCACGGCATTTCGTGTTATTAGTCACGAAATTAATTGAATCTATTGATTCGTGTTCACCAACACGATTTTCACCTTTTTTTCGTGTCACACAGAACGATTTTAAATGCAATGTATTTCTATTGGTAGTATGTTTCGTGCCTGCAACACGTCTTTTTGTCCGGTCGGGTCTTGGAAGACCAGAAGCTGTGTGGTTCATAAAAACATGTTCTTACTCAATATCTTACCCTAAGCCTAACCCTATCCCTTTTATTTTAAATTGTATAATGTCTGAGTTTTTTTGCCATCAGTGAGGAAAAGAAATGGCTCAGAGCCTCAGAATACTGAAATCTGTATTTTATGTCATCTTTTTTTCCTTCTAATTTGTTATTATTTGGTGCAGGCACGAAACATACTACCAATATAAATACATTGCTTCTAAAATCGTTCTGTGACAGAATACTTAAATCTGTATTTTTTTAAATGTCTTTTTCCTTCTAATTTGTTATTATTTACATTGCTTTTAAAATCGTTCTGTGTGACACGAAAAAAATGGCGAAATCGTGTTGGTGAACACGAATCAATAGATTAATTTCGTGACTATAACACGAAATGCCGTGAGACTGTGTTGTGTATTCACTCTCTGTCCCAAACGGCTTGTTGGAGCTCTTGCCCCCCCTCCCTGTGAGCCCAGTGTGCTCTTATTGGTAGCGACGTTGAGAGGCTCGTTGCTGCTCCTGCAGCTGCTGCAGGAGCAGACAGGCTTCCGGGTTGGCGATACAGCGAGAACAAGCGAAACTCATCCTGAGCACACACAAACACTCACAGCCGAAGTAAAAACAATAAGTGTGGCTTGATATTGAGTAAGACAAAGGTTTATAACGCTGTGAGCATGGGTCTGCGGAGAGCATTTCTCCACGATCCCAACGTAGTAGCCCGAAAAACGTTTACCCATTTAAACAGTCGTGGTAGATACCTTGTTTGTTTTAAACATCATAAATACACAAACAACAATGAGCTGATTGTGGATTACAGGAAGCAGCAGAGAGAGGGACACGCCCCCATCGCCATCAATGGGACTACGGTGGAGAGAGTCAGCAGCTTCAGGTTCCTTGGGGTCCACATCACTTTGTTTCGTGAAAGGCTGGCAGAGGGTGTTCACACGTCACAGTACCCAGGAAGAAAATGAGAAATCTCCAACGAGGCGTTTTGGGGAGGTGTTAGAGTTTTACTCGCTACAGGGTGTACTTTGAGGGTTTGTGACTCTGCAGACCGTTTACATGCATAAAAACCTTCATAACACAAGGGGACGGGTAATAACCGGAAAAGCATGACATGGGACCTTTAATATGTGGAGATTATCCTGCTGAATTAAACGTTTGTTTGACTCGGAGATCATTTTTTACATGATCCAAAATCACATGGAGGAATCCCATTGGACCAGGAGATGCTGCCTTCAGGGTCACTCTGTAGGAAGTTAGTTTGAAAAGAAGAGAGTACTGTGAGATTATATTTGTAACTTGCTCTATCGAAATCAGTCGCATTGACCGAAGACACATTTTGAGTTGTATACACTGTTGGAAAGAGGAGATTCCTGGCTTTCTAATGATATCAAGATTGTTTTTGTACTCCAAAGATTAAGCAAAATATGTCACATTATATAATGACTGTCATCATGTTGAGAAAAAGGCCTTCAAAGTTTCCTCTTCTCTGGAATCCATCGATCTGATTGATTATTAGCTAATAAATGATCAAAGTAGTACGGAGGGAAAATATTTTCACTTGGATTACTGGTCTGGAGGAAGCTCGCGAGTGTGTGTGTGTGTATGTGTGTGTTTGTGTGTCTACGTGTGTGTGTGTGTGTATTTTTGCGTTTGTGCGTATTGTGTTTGTTTCCCGGGGAAACACTCAGGAGAAACACCGGCTGTTGTTATGCCTGCTGTGACGTCAAGTTACTCCGTTCTCCGCCTGTAATTATGTCGTTACAAGCTTCAAAGTTGTATTTATCATCTGGATTTGCCGAAACGAGTTTAATATTCTGAAAGCCAAGACTTTGTTTATTTGAAATCAAACAAAACACCCGAACCCCGAAAAGCTATTTTTTTACGCAAATCCACGTTTATTTTGAAACGAGCCATTGAGACTTCCGACTGATTTCCATAGAGCGGGTCACATGTGAGATGAACTCACCTCGGAGGAAGTCTTCAGCTGTTTGATTGACAGCTGGTTGTTTCTTAATGATGGCCGACGAGCGATAAACGATGTGTCGTCTTCCTTCTTCTTCCTCTTCCTCTTCCTCTTCCTCTTCTTCTGCTCTTCCTGTCCTCCATCGATCCAGCGGCTCGATGAAGAACTCCTCCTCACCCGTCCGGATCATCCCGGCCTGCACATTAAGAGAGTCAGCGTTAATGAAGAAGATCATTTGTGAAAAAAACAACATCATATCTGACTCATTATTGAAGCGATTAAATGTTGTTCATAAAGTGCTGTAGGACACAGCAACACAGCAGCATGTAGGACACAGCAGCATCTAGGACACAGCAACACAGCAGCATGTAGGACACAGCAGCATGTAGGACACAGCAGCATGTAGGACACAGCAGCATGTAGGACACAGCAGCAAACCCTTGATGAGTTTCTGCTGTGTCCTACATGTAGTCAGAGTATGTGTTTAATATGTTAGTGTGCTTTAAGTCACACGAGGCCACAGCAGAACCCTCTTCTCTTCAGTCTTTGAACGCCTCTCATCCTTCCTCCACATCTGGATTCACTCAGTCCGCTGTAAGAAGTGACGGTGATCTGTTTCAGCTCTGCCATGTTTTACACTGTTTGCTGTCCTTTCTCTGATCGCCTTTCACATCTGTGTTCCTTATTTCATAAACACTATATATACACTACATGGACTGAAGTGTTTCTTCACCTACACATGAAACTACAGGAGCTTTTATCCCATTCCTAATTCTTACATTAATATGAAGTCGGTCCTCTTGGCAGCTCTAACAGCTTCCACTCTACTGGGAAGGCTTTCTATCAGATTTTGGAGTCTGTCTGTGGGACGCACATTCATATTTTTTCTCGAACACTTTACTTTTTCCTCAAAATTGACTTTTTTCTCAAAATTGATCCTTTTTTGTTAGAAATACATTTTTCCCAGAATTTTGACTTTTTCTCAAAGTTGACTTTTTTCTTAGTTTCACTGGAACTAAGGGGCCTAGGTCAACCCCAGTTGAACCACCCCATAGCATTATCACACAGTGAAACATCTGTACAGGGAAACATCTGTACAATGAAACAGTGAAACATCTGTACAGTGACACATCTGTTCGGTGACACAGTGAAACATCTGTACAGTGAAACATCTGTACAGTGACATATCTGTACAGTGACACAGTGACACATCTGTACAGTGACACAGTGAAACATCTGCACAGTGACACATCTGTACAGTGAAACATCTGTACAGAGACATATCTGTACAGTGACACATCTGTACAGAGACACATCTGTACAGTGACACATCTGTACAGAGACACATCTGTACAGAGACACAGTGAAACATCTGTACAGTGACACAGTGAAACATCTGTACAGTGAAACATCTGTACAGTGACACATCTGTACAGTGAAACATCTGTACAGTGACATATCTGTACAGTGACACATCTGTACAGTGACACAGTGAAACATCTGTACAGTGACACATCTGTACAGTGACACATCTGTACAGTGAAACATCTGTACAGTGACACAGTGAAACATCTGTACAGTGACACATCTGTACAGTGAAACATCTGTACAGTGACATATCTGTACAGTGACACAGTGAAACATCTGTACAGTGACATATCTGTACAGTGACACATCTGTACAGTGACACATCTGTACAGTGAAACAGTGAAACATCTGCACAGTGACACATCTGTACAGTGAAACATCTGTACAGTGACACATCTGTACAGTGAAACATCTGTACAGTGACATATCTGTACAGTGACACAGTGACACATCTGTACAGTGACACAGTGACACATCTGTACAGTGACACAGTGAAACATCTGCACAGTGACACATCTGTACAGTGACACATCAGCTGCCACCTACCAGCCCGTCACAGTTGCTGATGGCGACGGACGCGTCCTCCATGTTGGTCACGTCTCCCGTGTAGAAGCAGTTGGCGTCTTCTATCGGCTGAGAGTGTTGTCGCCCTGACTCCTCCCACTCCATGGTGGCGGCGGGGGCCAGCAGGCGGGTGTTCGGACGCAGCCTCAGGTGCAGATTCCTGCCGAACACCGTCACGTTGTAGAAGAGCTCTGCCTCCTGCTCCCCGGGACCCCGCCCCCTCCATCCACGGCCTCTCTGATTGGATGGTGAGGCATATGTGAGCGGGGCATGGTGTGAAGTGGGCGTGTCTGTTTGTCTGTGGTTGTTAACGTCAAAGGGCGTGTCGTCTGTGGAGGGGGCGTGTCTTCTGGCGGAGACTGATGCAGACAGGAAGTGGCCCTCAGCGTTCGTCCTGATTGGACGAACGACAGCGAAGTCTGAGAGCACCTGATGGAGAGAGGCTGAGAGAGAGACACTGTGTTTACCACCATACTTTAATATATATATATATATGTTAATGCGAGTCACAGGTATACACAGAGGAGGGAGAAGTACTCAGATCTTGTACTTTAGTTAAAGTAGAAGTAGTCATTGTGCAGATTGGTCCATTTCAGAATAATATATATGATATGTTTTATAATGATTGATCATTAAAGTGTTCTCAAAGCTGGTAAAGGTGCAGCTAGTTTGAATAAATTGAAAAAATAAACACATTACAAGTACCTCAATACAATATTTAAGTAAACGTACTTACTTTAAACCACTAGATGTAAACACTAAAATAAAATACTACATGATAATAATAATAATTGATCAGTTGTTATAAATGTGGAAACAGTCATAAATACCTCTATAGCCAGGGGTGCACATAACTGGTACGCAGGTACGCATGCGCGGCAACAATCTGAAATGCGTACCGTCACATGTGTCACAAAGCGCATTCGCGTACCGACGTAAATGTGAAGTCGGTCTCCGTGTGCACAGACAGGGCTGCTGAGGCGCTGTCCTCCGCTGACGCCACCCCCCCCCCCCCCGTTGACAATCGTCAGAAATTGGAGTACCAAACACTGACTCCAGGTACTCATCTGAGTACCTCACTGAGAAAGTTGTGTGCACCCCTGTCTATAGCAACCCAGTCTCACGGCATTTCGTGTTATAGTCACGACATTTAATCTATTGATTCGTGTTCACCAACACGATTTTCCCCTTTTTTTTCGTGTCACACATGTCACGATCTGTCTGTGTTGTGTTTTGTCTTGTCTAGATCTGTCTTTGGTTTCCTGTTTTATTTTGAAAAGTGTTCACCCCCCGTCTTGCCTGTTGCTTCCTGTCTGTGTGTTCCCTCCTACCTGATTACCTGATTGTGTTCACCTTGTGCCCCTGTGTTTTCTCCTCCCTCCTCACCTGTTTCTTGTTTGTTTCATTAGTCCTGTGTGCATTTAGGTTCAGCTTTTTCTGTTAGTCTTTGTGAGATCCTTGTTTGTTGTTGACTGTGTTCACAGGGGAGAGCTCTGTATGTTACTTGTAGCCTTGAAATAAAGGTATTTTCTGTTAAATCTGCATTTGGGTCCTGCCTGCTTCGTTCAACCCCGACAACACAGAACGATTTTAAAAGCAATGTATTTCTATTGGTAGTATGTTTCGTGCCTGCAGCACGTCTTTTTGTCCGGTCGGGTCTTGGAAGGTTCATAAAAACATCTTCTTACTCAATATCAAGCCACGATTATTGTTTTTTATTTTAAACCATATAATGTCGGACTTTTTTTGCCGTCAGTGAGGAAAATAAATGGCTCAGAGCCTCAGGATACTGAAATCTGTATTTTCTTAAATCTTTTTGTCCTTCTAATTTGTTATTCTTTTCTAAATAACACACTGTTATTTACTCAACAATAACACACAATTATCCATGTTTTTATTTATTTGTTTAATTCTATAATCTCTGGCTTTGTTGGCGTCCGTCAGGAACTGAATTTCAAAATAAAGTAACCGGAAACAGATACACAACCACTGAACTGATTACCCAAGATCCTCAGCTATGGTTTAAGCTCGGTGATTGGATTGTTTAGCCGCAATGCACGTTGGGATATGGTGTTTATGCGATATGAAATCCGAAAAACATTTAAAAAAAAAAGAAAATAATACTTTAAATAAAAACAAGGATAATTGTGTGTTATTGTTGAGTAAATAACAGTGTGTTATTTAGAAAAGAATAACAAATTAGAAGGAAAAAAAGATTTAAAAAATACAGATGTCAGTATTCTGAGGCTCTGAGCCATTTCTTTTCCTCACAGACGCAAAAAAGGTCCGACATTATACGATTTAAAATAAAAACAATAATCGTGGCTTGATATTGAGTAAGAACATGTTTTTATGAACCCCACAGCTTCCGGTCTTCCAAGACCCGACCGGACAAAAAGAAAAAATGTGTTGCAGGCACGAAACATACTACCAATAGAAATACATTGCTTTTAAAATCGTTCTGTATGACACGAAAAAAAGGGGAAAACCGTGTTGGTGAACACGAATCAATAGATTAAATTTCGTGACTATAACACGAAATGCCGTGAGACTGGGTTGTCTATAGACACACCACATGTTTGATTCTGAAGTTATTCAAAGAGACCTAAATATTAAAACATCTGGAACAGAGAGCCAATCAGAGCAGAGCAGTGACATGTGTGTGTATATGTTGGTGTTTGTGTATGTATGTGTGTGTGACCCCTGACCTCCGCAACCTCAGACAGAAATACATCAGCCTCTTTCCTCATTAAATCACTGCACACACACACACACACACACACACACACACACACACACACACACACACACACACACACACACACACACACACACACACACACACCACACACACACACACACACACACACACACACACACACACACACACACACACACACACACACACACACACACACACACACACACACACACCCTGGATGATGAAATATGATCTGAATCCCTCACATTCCTCAGACGGCACAGCGTATAAACAGAGAGATTTATGGGAAAAACGTGGAGAGGAAAGTTTTCTGAGTCAGAAGCGCTTCCATGTGAAGAGAGTCTGGGTTATGGAAACATTTCATGAACAAGAAGAAGCTGAAGAGTCATTTCACAATATGCTTTTAATATCTGTAAAATATCATCTCAATCACACGAGGAAACATCCTCACAGCTCAGTCTGCAGTATGTAGCGTCTCTACTTTAAAGAGTCCTCTCCTGCTGATGTTCAGGTGTATATCAGTATGTAGTGTCTCTACTTTAAAGAGTCCTCTCCTGCTGATGTTCAGGTGTATATCAGTATGTAGTGTCTCTACTTTAAAGAGTCCTCTCCTGCTGATGTTCAGGTGTATATCAGTATGTAGTGTCTCTACTTTAAAGAGTCCTCTCCTGCTGATGTTCAGGTGTATATCAGTATGTAGTGTCTCTACTTTAAAGAGTCCTCTCCTGCTGATGTTCAGGTGTATATCAGTATGTAGTGTCTCTACTTTAAAGAGTCCTCTCCTGCTGATGTTCAGGTGTATATCAGTATGTAGCGTCTCTACTTTAAAGAGTCCTCTCCTGCTGATGTTCAGGTGTATATCAGTATGTAGTGTCTCTACTTTAAAGAGTCCTCTCCTGCTGATGTTCAGGTGTATATCAGTATGTAGCGTCTCTACTTTAAAGAGTCCTCTCCTGCTGATGTTCAGGTGTATATCAGTATGTAGTGTCTCTACTTTAAAGAGTCCTCTCCTGCTGATGTTCAGGTGTATATCAGTATGTAGTGTCTCTACTTTAAAGAGTCCTCTCCTGCTGATGTTCAGGTGTATATCAGTATGTAGCATCTCTACTTTAAAGAGTCCTCTCCTGCTGATGTTCAGGTGTATATCAGTATGTAGTGTCTCTATTTAAAGAGTCCTCTCCTGCTGATGTTCAGGTGTATATCAGTATGTAGCGTCTCTACTTTAAAGAGTCCTCTCCTGCTGATGTTCAGGTGTATATCAGTATGTAGTGTCTCTACTTTAAAGAGTCCTCTCCTTCTGATGTTCCGGTGTATATCAGTATGTAGCATCTCTACTTTAAAGAGTCCTCTCCTGCTGATGTTCAGGTGTATATCAGTATGTAGTGTCTCTACTTTAAAGAGTCCTCTCCTGCTGATGTTCAGGTGTATATCAGTATGTAGCGTCTCTACTTTAAAGAGTCCTCTCCTGCTGATGTTCAGGTGTATATCAGTATGCAGTGTCTCTACTTTAAAGAGTCCTCTCCTGCTGATGTTCAGGTGTATATCAGTGTGTAGTGTCTCTACTTTAAAGAGTCCTCTCCTGCTGATGTTCAGGTGTATATCAGTATGCAGTGTCTCTACTTTAAAGAGTCCTCTCCTGCTGATGTTCAGGTGTATATCAGTATGTAGTGTCTCTACTTTAAAGAGTCCTCTCCTGCTGATGTTCAGGTGTATATCAGTATGTAGCATCTCTACTTTAAAGAGTCCTCTCCTGCTGATGTTCAGGTGTATATCAGTATGTAGTGTCTCTACTTTAAAGAGTCCTCTCCTGCTGATGTTCAGGTGTATATCAGTATGTAGCATCTCTACTTTAAAGAGTCCTCTCCTGCTGATGTTCAGGTGTATATCAGTATGCAGTGTCTCTACTTTAAAGAGTCCTCTCCTGCTGATGTTCAGGTGTATATCAGTGTGTAGTGTCTCTACTTTAAAGAGTCCTCTCCTGGTGATGTATATGTATATATGTATATCAGTAGTGTCTCATCACACTGACTGAAATACCATCACACTGACTCTACTGACTGTACTACCATCACACTGACTGTACTACCATCACACTGACTGAACTACCATCACACTGACTGAACTACCATCACACTGACTGAACTACCATCACACTGACTGAACTACCATCACACTGACTGAACTACCATCACACTGACTGAACTACCTTCACACTGACTGAACTACCATCACACTGACTGAACTACCATCACACTGACTCTACTGACTGTACTACCATCACACTGACTCTACTGACTGTACTACCATCACACTGACTCTACTGACTGTACTACCATCACACTGACTCTACTGACTGTACTACCATCACACTGACTCTACTGACTGTACTACCATCACACTGACTCTACTGACTGTACTACCATCACACTGACTGAACTACCATCACAATGACTGTACTACCTTCACACTGACTGTACTACCATCACACTGACTGTACTACCATCACACTGACTGTACTGACTGTACTACCATCACACTGACTGAACTACCATCACACTGACTGAACTACCATCACACTGACTGAACTACCATCAAACTGACTGAACTACCATCACACTGACATCACACTGACTGAACTACCTTCACACGTTGTTAAGCAGACTTTGACTCCTGTTTCTAATTGAATATGTTATATATGTTGACTGTAAAACACAGCCGGCTCACCTGTTTCCTCAGAGAGGGAAGCGACGCTCTGCAGCAGAAACACTGTTATTAGAAATCCAGAAGAAAACTGATCCATCCTGAGAGAGACGCTGAGACGAGTGAGAGGGAGAGAGAGGAGCTGCTGCTCACTATCTCCTCCCACACACACACACACACACACACACACACACACACACACACACACACACACACACACACACACACACACACACACACACACACACACACACACACACACACACACACACACACACGCACACACACACACACACAAACAGTACCTGTTTGTGTCCACTAGATGGAGGCAGTGTTATTAAATGTGTTTCTGATCCACACTAGTACTACAGTTCTTCTATCAGTGGCATTTTTAAGAGTACTAGTACTACAGTACCTCAAGTACTAACCAAGACGGTAAAAGTTGACAGTCATCTTCTAAAATCGCAAATTCAAAACCAACAAAAACATTCATTAATTTAAAATAATTGTTATCATCTGTTTATTTGTATGAAATCAGATAAATTACAAACATTGAACAGATTATCAATAAAATCCTCCAAAAGATCACAGAGTTGAACAGGTTCAGGTGTTATGAATTAGAAATCTCATTTTATCACTTTATTAATCCAATAATTAACATCTGGCATCATTTATATCATCACACATTAAAACTGACACCAGCTACATGAGAACAAATTAACATGTATGTACAAAGTGATTTTTAAAGTCAACAAATCAAAGTGTTTATGAACATTAATATCAACATGTTCAAAACCTAATCAGGAATCAATAACTTCTTCAAAGTTCAACAAATGATCAAAAACAACAAGAGCATAAGAATATGAACCCATGGATATTGAGTTATAAATGACAGGATGTTAGTTATGAATACTTTTCCCATAGTGCCTCTAGAACAGGGGTGGGCAATTATTTTTTACAAGGGGCCACTTCAGAAACTCGAGCTGTGTTGGGGGGCCGAATCAAAAATAAGTTGAACTTAATTCTGCTCAATATACCAATACTGAAAAGGTGTTTTACAGTATGTTAAAGATAAGAAATGAATCAGCTTTATACAAAAAGAAATGAGTGCTTTTGATTTTTGTTTTTTCAGTTAATTTGACTTGTTCAGTGAGAAAAATCCAGTCTGTCTTGGGCTTGAACAAGTGCACGGAAATCTGGTTCAATGTCTGAGGTGGATATGCGAAGGACAGCTGAGAGGTGATCATCAGTGATAGAGGATCTGTATCTGGATTTGTTGAACTTCATCACTGAGAATGTCTGTTCACATATGTAGGTAGATCCAAAGAGGACCCTCATCTTCTGAGCACGTCTCCTGATGTGTGGAAAGTTCTCCTCTTTCAGGGAAGAGTAAAACTCAGGCAGTGAGACTGACCTAAAGTGCTCTGACAGAAGTGTGTCAGACTGCAGGTCAATGAGTTCAAGCTGAACATCACTGGGTGCATCATCCACATGGCATGTAAATGGGGAAAAGATCATGTTCATTTCATTCTCAACTGTTTTGAAGTCTTTAAATCGCCTTGAAAACTCACCATGCAGTGCTTCTAACATGGATGAGTACCTCTGGAGGTGATCAGCTGATGGTGTGGCTTCCTTCAGTGTTGGCAAGTGCGTGAGAATGTTGTCCTCCATTTGGCTTGAGAGAAGCTGCAGCTTTCTCATGAAAGCCTTCACTGCACTGTACATGTCATGCACAAAAAGGCCCTTGCCTTGCATTTTGACATTTAGTTCACTCATTAGTGCAGTCACATCTACAGCAAAACCAAGGTCTGCCATCCAGACTGCATCTGAAAGCTGTGGGATGTCGTTTCCTTTCTTCACACAGAAGTCTTGAATCTCTTCTCTCAGGTCCCATACTCTTTTCAGCACTTTGCCCAGGCTGAGCCACCTGACAGCTGCATGGTAGGGTATGTCACGATGTTCAGTCTCACTTTCCTCCAAAAGTGCAACAAACTGTCTGTGATTCAATGCTCTTGCCCTGATGAAGTTAACTATTTTAGTTACAACATCAACAACATGGTTAATTTTTAACACTGACTTACACAACACTTCCTGATGTATAATACAATGCAAAAATACCTATTTCTGCTCAGGGTTAATTTCTGTCACTTTATCCTGCATTCTCTTCAATAGTCCAACATTTTTCCCTGTCAGATTTGGACAACCATCCGTTGTCACGCCTGCCAGCTTGTCCCATTTCAGTCCCAACTTTTCCACACATGCATTTACCTCCGTGAACAAATCACTCCCTGTTGTTGTACCTTTCATTGACTGCATGGCTGCCAGCTCCTCCGTGATTTTGAAGTCTGTAGTTATCCCACGTAGGAAGATGAGTAGCTGGGCAGTGTCACGTACATCGCAGCTCTCATCCAAAGCCAAGGAAAAAAAGTCAAAGTTGACCGCTCTGTTCTGCAGCTGAAGCTCCAGATTTCCCGCGATGTCCTCAATTCTCCTCGTAACAGTGCGTCGGGAGAGCGGCACTTTCTCAAATGCCTCCTTTTTCTCCGGGCATATTAGTGTCCAACAAACACTCCTTAATGAACTCTTCGTCCGAAAACGGTTCACTTTTAAGACATAACTCGTCTTGACAGCTGCATCTCTGGATGTGGAATGTTTTGTGAAAATGTGTTGTTGGCTTTGCAGCTTAGCTAGCAAAGCATCCGACCCCTTTGCCCACTCTTCCTCAGACAGGTTCTTGTATTTATCTGCGTGTTTGGTAGCATAGTGGCGACTCAAATTGTACTCCTTGAACACAGCGACCTGCGCACCACAAACTAAACACACAGCTTTACCTTTCACTTCTGTAAATAAATACTTAGCGGTCCATGTCTTGTTGAAAACGCGGCATTCAGTATCGATCTTTCTTTTTGTGCCCTTAGCGGACATTTCGAGGACTAGCCGGCCAGCATCACTCGTAGCTGTTACGGCATGCGCGTTTACGTAAATAAATAAAAAAAACAGCAGCTTCCTTTTCAAAATAAAAGCAACACAGTTAGAAAAGTATTTACGCCATGCAAGCAATACAGCTGTGTTGCTTTTATTTTGAAAAGGTTGCTGTTTTTTTTCATTATGTTATAATTTATGATCAACCTCACACGGGCCGGCCAAGGCCGGCCAACGGGCCGGATGTGGCCCGCGGGCACCCGCAGAGTCACCAGTTCAAGTCCCCGATAGACCGAGGTGCCCCTGAGCAAGGCACCCCCGGCGCCCTCCTAACACTGATCAGATGAGAGGCATTTCCCCTCTGTGGGGCCATTGAGGGTCCTTCTGTTCTTTCAGTCTCAATAATACTTCACCAACTGGAAGTACACTGAACAAATTGATACTTTGGATCAACTTAAAAAAATTGCGCAAAAAATATTGCTTCCGTCTAAGATATATATTTACATTCACAAAAAGTAATAAGATGATTCATTCTGAAGACCGCACAACATTTATTACTTTGTTATAACTTAATTTTTCCTTTTGGACTAACCTCATATTTATATTAGATCTAAGTAGAGTTCTTAAGTTTGTGAAAACAAATTCAAAAAAATACTTCATTTTGTTGCAGGCAATATTTTTTATTATAGCTTAAAATATTTTCTTTTATTACAAAGCACAAACTTTAATGTACATCAATACAATACTGTGTTTTGTTTACTGTAAACAAATTACATTTTGACTTAAACTTATAACACTTTGTTTAGCTCAGTTCACATAAAGACAGGAATATTCTCTTCAAAAGACCTTAACATTTATTGGGATGTCTTTAAAATATGCATCACCTATTCTGTATTATAAAATACAATATTATTTTAATTAAAAATAAATACACCAATAAATTAATACAATTAATTGAGTAAATTATGCAACCAATTTGCACTTATATAAAAAATAAACTCTCCTGTAGCCTTAACCATATACATCAAAAATATGCATATGAACATGTTAAACTAGCTTGCATATCTCTCCTCTAAAATGTAAATATGTAATGCGTTTAAACCTGGCTGCCTTTTAATAAAAGACTAGAATGTATGCATGACATCTTGTTTTTTTTTACATTTTTAAACACTTCAACAATATTTTCTGCAGCTCTTAATTACAACTTCAGATAAACATGTATTAGCCATTAAGAAGGGTTTAAGTAGCATTACCAGAATCTGTGAAGTCACATTCTTTTTTAACTTCAAATGAAACATACAGAGGCCAAAACAATTAAGCAACGAAAAATGCAGTTCAATCACTAGCATTGCAATCTTTGAACAAGGTTGGCCTTTTGTGTCAGTTCAATAATTTCAATCAGATACGAGTTCTTGTAGAGCCTGAGCTGGAGGGTGTGGACAAGATGTCAGTATCGTCTGATTGAGCAGACACTGCTTCTTCACAGACGGTAAAGATGTATTCTTGGACACCATCATCAGGTATTGGGATGACCTTGATAGTTGTCAAATCTTCAAGGTCAGCAGTGGATGTCAGGTTGACTAGTGCATCTCCAATGTCTCTGAGTAGTATTACCAATCCTGTTTCTATCACATTAGCATGCATAAAAAAGTGACAGGTCACACCTTCTAAGTCCCGCCCCTAATGATGCTAATGAGCCCCCTTTGATATGCTAATGAGCCCCTTTGTTCGAGGTGTTATCGCGTACAGGTGTTACATCCTCCCAGGTAGCCCCCACCCCTCTCAGCCCACCCCCCTCCCCCTCACATACAGGTGTCACATCCGCCCTGTCGCCCCCACCCCTCTCAGCCCCCACCCTTCTCAACCCACCCCCCTCCTCCTCCCCCCTCCTGTCCGGTCAACATGTCCGTTACAGTTTAAATCTTCCGGACAAAATTAGAAAAGTGCCGGTCAAAAGGTCTTCTATGTTATTTATTGAGCTTTGAAACAAATTGATATGATTCGATATTAAACCAACTAATTATAGAAGACAATTAACTATTCAAACGTGTACAGTAATTTACAATAACACGGGAATAATAAACGGAGCGCTCTCCCCCTCTCCTGACAACACGCCAGTATCATGCAGCTCGCGGATCCAATAATGAGTGACCCGACAGTAAAACTAAACATACCTAT